GCTTACCTGTAACTGTTGTTGTTCAAGTGGTGGGCTATGCATTCACATATATGGGCTCTGAGTCTTTGTATGTTTAAACAATTCTGTTTTCTTTGTTGTCATGTTTTTATTGGTCTATGATTACACAATAAATACTGATTGCTAGGCTAGTGGCTGGGAGTGAGGAAAGGGGCTGTATGGAGAATATTAGCTACCCTAGAGGTTAGGAGCAGAGAAAGTGAGAGATTAAAGGGGACACTCTAGGTGAGACCAGGAAGCAACTCTTCCAGCCCCCTCAGGAACAAAAAATTAAAGTCTTACTGGTTTTGTTTTTGCTTTTGTTTTTTTGTTTTTTGCTAAAAATTGAAGGGAACAGGGAGTGAAAAGCTCTGACCACCCCTGGGCTGGAAACTTAATTTTTTATTTTAAAGTTGGGAATCTGAGCTACCTAATGGTCCTCCTATGATGCAGGCACTACAGCCCCCTTAGCCCAGTGGTTAAGGCTATGTCTGCACTTGATTAGTTAGAAATAAGTCCACGGAGTCAGTGAAACTTACACCCAGGCGTCTGTTTATCAGATTGCTGCATTCATGAAAACAATATTATTGCAATTTTGCATGCATTTTGCAACAAGCTGAATCTTCTCTATTTTTGGGATTGACTATTTAATGTTTGTATTATGCTATCACAGAACAAAATATTTTTATAGGCTAGCCTCTCAGCATGAACTGAGCTTAGAAAGATAGAAACATAGAAAACAGAGCGAGTCAGAAGGGGCCTCCCGGGCCATCTAGTCTGACCTCTGGCACCAGCCGGCTCCAGTCACGACATGCCCACCATGTGGACGTCCAGCCTATCCTAGCTTCATAAGCATGTCAAAGTCTTGTGGTGCTAAAAAGTCACAATCTAAATAAATTCATAATTATGAATAATCAAATTCATAATTTAAGCAAGCACTTACCTTAATAAGCCAAAGAGAAGAACATCCAAATAGGGTGTGCATTCATTAATGGGACTGACCTTTAATTAAGAGGAGGTTCAGCCTCCTACAGCTTCATCACATTTCATGTAGAGAAGCATCTAGTGGCCACGTAATGACTTCTTGTTGATATATTTCACAAAGCAGGAGGGTTTTATTAGAGGAAGTGCATTTAGATGGCATGATCCAAGTCATTCAATTATGTAAGCACTTATTTAATTATAGCTTTCTCGGTATGTGCTTCGCATCTAGGTATGCTTTCATTTTTCCTTTTCTTTAAAAAGAAAGACAATTGGATTTGCAAATGATATTTGAAACAGTATCTCAGAAGAAAAGCATGCTTCAGCTAATACATATTTACATAACAGCACAGAAATGGAAGGAAAAAATGTTAGAGGCAGTGGAAGCAATTCGAAGCAACCCATATAAGGCTTCCTGGGTAATAACCCATTTGCCATGTTGACTTTGGGTTAGAGTTCAGGTCACTTCCAAATAAAGAGAGAGACTAGTTCTCCTTTACACTGCAGCAGTCAGACCTCACCTGGAATACTGTGTCCAGTTCTCCGCATCCAAGGGTCTAGAGGAGGGCAACACAGATGATCCAGGGTCTGGAACCTTGATGGGAGGCTGAGAGCTGGACATGTTCAGCCTTGAGAAGAGATGATGGGGGAATGTGATAGCACTCTGCAAGTATCTCTGAAGCTGTCACAAATAGGAAGGAAAAGACCTCACTCATCCGAGTGTAGGCCACAGAACAATGGACTTAAGCTACAGCACACTAGGTTCAGGATAAACACCAAGAAAAACTTCCTGTCAGAACAATGTGACCATGAAACCAGTTGCTCAGAGAGTTTATGGACTCTTCCCACACTAGTGAAATCGGCTAGTCATCTGAGTGGGATGGTGTGACTTGGCATCTTCCCCCAGCAGGGGGTGGCACCTGGTGGCCTCCTTGGCCTCTTCCTTCCCTACTATTCTGTGAATGACTCTTTGCGTTCTGTCTCTCACTCATCACGTACACATTCAAGTTCTCACTAATAAGCAAAACCAGAGTATAGTTCAGTGTGCAAATTATGTCGATGAAAACCTGAAGAACAAAACAGGCTGCCTGCAGGGAATCAGCAGCATGCTCATCTCCCACGGTTTAATAAAAATGTCAAGTGGCAAGTTAAGTGGGCTCACTGTACATTTACCCTAACCACCTGCTGGAAAAGCAGCTTTGCTTACCAATTCATTATCCAGGCTGTTTCTTTAGTCAATGTAAGATCATGTCTTGCAGAACTTCTGTAGTTGAGTGAGTGAGTGTGTCTCTCTCTCACACACACAGGCTATGGTGAACTCTGCTTCCTTGGGAAGTTGTACCGTGTTCCCATAAGCAGAAAAACTCTTATAACAAGTTCTCAAGCCATTTCAATTTTCTCCTCTGACTTTTGAGCTTCTTTCCAAACCGAATGCATACACCCTTGTTTGAGACATTGCAGTTTTGGCTCCAATGAAGGCAAATGGCTCTGGTGGAAGAGTTGCATCATAGGCTATAATCAGTGAGAATACTTGATTCTGAACTCATTGTGAAACATGGTCCACAAATTAAAACAAACAAACAAACAACTTTGCATGGTTTGGCTTTAGCTACCTGTAGGAATAGGAAAGGAGACGATGCACCTGTCTCAGCTGTGAATCTGACTTAGCTCAGCTAATCTTGGGGAGCAACACATCTTCAAAGGAGATACTTGCCTTCCAGTTCCTTCAAAAGGTTTAGTATCTTTTGCTGGGGTCTAACATATACCGGCAGAGGAAACACACCTTACCCTTACCCTAGATTCACACAGACATACAACACACTCAGAAAGCAAAGGAATGTTTCATCAGAAGGACATACACAGCAGCTACAAACTCTTAACCTGATGTTTAGACAGCAAATACATCCCTTTGTATCCCAATCTTACTTTGTATTCTAAGGAAGGAAAGAGCCCTCTGATCTAAATCTTATCAAATAGCCTTATGGATAGAAAGAAGCTAACTGCAAGAGGAGTCCAAGGTTTCTACCTGTCTGTTGGTCGTCCTACACTGTACAATCTCAACAGTAGTCCTTTATATAGGCAGGAGGGTGGGTTTACTCATGTAAAGCAGCCCACAATCCAGCATAGGTACCAGGTCTGTTTTGCTCCTTTCCAATTTTTAACTCCTTGGTTTTTATACTCTTTTCCCCATGCTTGCTTCTATGAGAATGGGAAGGTTCCATAGTTTCTCAGACATATATTAATTCTGTGATTGTTCTTGATTGCCTTAAATATTGCCATCTGCTATGTGATCCTGTCTGTTTTCTATGGATAACAGGTGTGTTCTTTGTGTTTGGTGCTGCTATTGATGGGGTAATTTCCAGGTGTATGGTGACTTACTGTGCTTGCTCAAGATAGTGGTAGTCATTTGCTTTCAGGGTCATTTTGCCTCATCTCTTTAAAGCAAAAACTCTTCAGGTTACTGATCTTTTTCCCAAAAGAATTCCATCATGCATTCCTTATCTCATTCATACTGGCTAGTCAGGGTCATCAGATCAGTCCTGAACTCCAGCGTACCCTACATAGTCCATGACGACCTGGGAGCCTGACCTTGTGGCTCTTGGCATACAACCAATATTGATATTAATTATATATACACAGTACAGTAAGTAGAGGGTCTATTGCCCTGGATCATGCAATGAGAGTACACGAAAAGGGCTCCACAAGCACTCATTCCACAAGGCATAATCAACACAATTTGCACATGTAGTTGAAAAGTAGAGTATGGGAACTAGGCTAGGCCATTTCAGATAACTGTTATTATGGAAACAAATCTTTGCATGTAGAAAAGTAGCAATGCACAGCTCCAGAACCATTCTCCTGATATGCTAGGGTCTTTGTCAGTTGCAAGTTATTTTTGAAGGAATCATTCAAAACTGTGATTGTTCTCCAACAACTACAGTACAGTTTGTACAACTTAGAGCTGTTCTCCCTACAGATTTAATTTTATTTACTTCTCCGTAGCAGAGTGGACAACACTGGACCTTTGCTCTGAGTTAAGGGAAAACACACAATGCTGTTGAGCAGCACTGTATGAAGAGGTCACATTGACTAACAGAATTTTCCCACAGAGATGGATACAGTTTCTGAAGCATCCTGTTATGCCATGTCATACTAAATTAACTGATGGCAGTTTGCTTTGGGGCCAGCTGATTTGCCTGTTCACTGGAGTTCACGCAAATTAAAGGAAAACTGAGACAGCCCTCCATGACTAACAGCCTGGCTTGTTGATCTGCTGTTCTTGTGGTGGTGGAGCTGTGTTCTCATTACCACATGTGATTTAATTAGTACGCACGTAGCTCTTTGCAAATATTGGAATACCCTCGCTTAAGGGGAAGGAAAGGGTAAAACGAGCAGGCAGCAACTGGCTTATTAAGCTAATAAATCCTGCATGCTGTATGCTAGACAACATTCAGCTTGAAATCACTGGAAAAGTGGTAGATGATTTCATTCCTCCAAGTTCATATTGCAATATCCCAAACGTTTAAAGTCTTTATTGGACTTAAAAGGATGATTCAACTTAGCCGATTCCTGAGGGGTTCATTCCAGAATACCCATTTCAATTGCAACAAAGCAACCTTCATTTTCATCTCACTGTTTAAAATAGATTTGCCTTTGCTTCCTCAATTACCCATTTGGGAAGCCTTCAGGGACAATGCTTAATTTTTTTTTAATTTCCAAAACAAATTAAATTCACTTCAAAACTTACTGTTTCCAAATGGCTGTGATGTAAGCAACGTTTTTTGAATTGCAGAGAATGTGTCTGTAAAAATTTCAGTGTAGGCATACTACCACATTTAGCTCATGTGTTGGCTGAAGACTAAGTAGCACACAGAGGTACTAGCAAGACCTATGCCCGACTTATTGTAAATAGTGAATCAACTTCACTAGAACTTAAAAATATGAAAACAGGTCCATTTTGCAACTTACTTCCCTCAATTTACACAACCTGGCCTGCTGAAAAAAGAAGAGAGACTCTGAACTTGATAATCGATTGTACTCTATTTTATTATAAATAGCTTTAAAAATATGCAGATTGCTTACACAAACTGCAATTTAGACTGCATTGTTACAAATGCCTGAAATATATAAAATCACTTTGAAGAGCTGTGCATACCAGAAATAAAATGAATGCAAACCTAATGGAAACAAGGCTGTTTGCAATTTATTTCTTTTAACCATACCAATTTAGGGCACCAGCCAATCAGAAAACTGCATCCCTCTGAACCTGAAAGATTATGGGCATCCTATGGGAATGGGAGAGGTGCAGAAGTGAAGGTCATCTCCATGTTTCTCCCACCAACTTAGCTGGATGGCCAATTTCAGTCATCTACCTGAGGTGCTTCAGAGCCACAGAGAAGGCAGCTGAGCTGCTGCCTTCTGCTCCCCTTCCCCAGAAGCCCTTCTGCAGGGTTGCTAGGCTGGGAAGCAACGTGTTTCTCTCCATCGCAGGCACATGGTGGGGTTGCTCTCCAAATGCAGGGACCAGCAATGAGTCTGTCATAATTTCCTGATCTTTTAAGTTGGGTCTCCAAAAAGTCCTGTGGCCACTGAGGTGCTGCCTTGTGACTAAAAGATTGTGTTGTCCATTGGAGAGATCACTATCAATACATTTCTTGCTTCATTATCTGCAGTTCACTTTCCTTCTGATATAGGGCAAAATTACATCCTGTTTGCTTCAGCAAGTGGGGTGGGAAGGTGAGCCACTGGACCAAAGGAAGAAATGGCATGGAAAATATAGCATTATCAACCTTTCCTCCCACACTGGGACTAGTAAAGGTAGATTTTTTTTTAAATGCTTGGTAATTCTAGCTCAAATATAACTTTTTAAAAGCAGGTATTACATGTATTCTCTATCAAGCAGTATATTGGCCCACACTTCTATGTATTCTGTTAATGTAGTTTTTTTTTTAAATAAGCAGTTTTGTATTGACTGATTTATTCCCCCTCATTAGTTTTCCATCCGTGGTCACAATCTGCAGGGGATTCTACAAGTGTCATATAATATCTACTTAATTTGAAGGGGCTTGTGTGGGAAAAGATCAATGTTTCAATTTTAACAAACTAGGTCCTTCTGTAGAAGAATTTCTGATGCAAGATTAATAGAAAATGGCATTTTCATTTATGACAATTACAAAATACAGAATAGTGGACTCTATGACTTTGTTTATCTGGCTATTTTAAGGGTCAGCTGCCCTTAGAGTTACCACAAACAAATGATCATTCACTGATTATAACACTTGGATGAATTCCAGAAAATGCTTGTTATGTTGAAGAGCGCATTAGATTTGGTGAACTTTAAAGAGTAAAAAATGAAGAAAAATACTCAGCATGTATGATAGCAATTCCTATATTTCAATATCTTCAGACTTCTCAAACTGCTGGAAACAATACACATCTCTCCACTAGTTTCTTAACTGGGGTTTAGAAATGAGAATAAGGGCACAATCCTATGAATGCTTAGACAGATAAAAGCCTACAACTCCCAGCATGCTAGGAGTTGTAAGCCTATTTTTTCTGTCTCAGCTTTCATCAGGGAAATCAGGGAGGGAAAGTATTTCATTGCTCCCACCACTCTGTTGTTCCAATCTCCTTTCCCAAAGGAACCTGGCTCCAATGAGCTACCCATTTTCAAGTTGTCTTTCTATACACCTCACAACTCCAGGTAACAGCTTCCCTCTTTGTCTCCTTGGCCCTAGTCTGATGGGGTGGGTGGTTTTTCTATGCATTCTAATTCAGTGTATGGCCTATACTGGCCCCACAATCATAAACACCGATGGAAAGTGGACTGGTAGACCAGCACACATCCATATAAATTTTAGCAATGAGTAGAATTGCTTTTAGTGCCTTTTATACAGTCTATACTCCCAAATAAGAAAAACATGCTGCCTTGAAATGCTAAGCAACCTGACTGCTCACAGTTGAGCTTATTAATTGTCACAAAACTGTGCAACACAATCACTCATCAGATAGTGATTAAAAGGGGAAATGCTTTCTTGAAAAAGGAATAAACTGAGGCATATAAAGAGAAACCATCCAATAAGGGTAAATTTCCTTTTCTACCAACTACTCCATGGAAATGGTCCCATCAGTCAACATGGGCTGACATTAACTGCTGCCTTGGTTCACCTAATATACCCAAAGCAATGCTGCCATTGCACACATTAAATAGACTATCTTCTTAAAGCTCTTCCTGCTTAAGGCAGCAACTTTTACCCAGTTGGGGAGGGTAACAAGGTTCAGGCTGCCTGAAGTCAGCATAGTCAAAGCTCTGCATTTGAACTACTTGGCAGCTTTGAAGAAAAATGGGTATCTTTAAATGGCAAGTGTTTCATCAAAGTCTTGCAAAGTGCTGCTTTAACTGCTTGATAAGTTGCTGAGTATCCACATGTTGTGGAAAAACTTCTTCAGACTTCTGAGCTGCTATGTAACTCCTCTGGAGATCTCCAACCTGCAAAAAATGGCATACCAACATAAAGACACAGAAATGCTATTGGCACCCTGTTTTATCCACCCCAGCCATTTTAACATATTCATATTTCAACAAGTTAAGAACAACCAAGATGATGGTTTGATCATCGTGTCCTGTTTACTTTTAGGCTAGATAACTGTAATGCTGTGAAATAGGACTGTCTTTGAAGAATGTTCAGAAACTTCAATTGGATCAACATGTGTTTGTAGAGTTCTGACTGAAGCCAGTGCACTGGCATATCAATACTTCATTAACTAAAATGGTTACCATTTGTCCTTTAAAATCTTAAACAGCCTGGGACCAGAATATCTCAAGCATTTATAATTTTGCTGTATTTTTTTATTTTATCATTGTACAATGCCTCATTTATAAATAAAGGTAGGGTAGAAGCACTAAATATAAATAAATCTACCCAGAATTAAGTGTCTTTAAGTCACATTAGAAGTATGTAACTTAAACAGGATGATTCCCTTAATTAATACAGAACTTTAATGTCACCCAATACATTGTCCAGAGAAGGAGCAGCTCCAGGAAGCATGCTTTGCCATTGCTTCTCAGAACACTCATAAAAACTTTGTAATGAAAAATTAGTATCTGAGTTGATTTTTTTCCTTCCTATCAATCAATTTACTGCTTTTAGAATGTAAATGTGAGGATGTGGACAGTCTTATTATTACTTGGTAAGCCACTTTGGGAGCTAAAAGCAAGATAAAAATCCTTAAAATAACAAAAGTAAAGTACTAAACAGAAGAAAACAGCAGTGACAAGTAATGACATTACCTTATCAGACAGTATAGCGAAATTGAAGTATGGCTCATACATATGAGGTGCTATCAATGAAGCGGTCTGCAGAAACACTCTTGCCTAAACAAAGAGAGACAGTATTGAGTTGCATTACTGTATAGTACAAGATGCATAAACCTTCTGCTCTATTCTATTCTGTTTGTTTTATTTTAATTTATTAAAATTCATTATAGCAGTAATGAAAAAAAGACTACAGTGTTGAGAATTTTATTAAAATTACTTTGGATACTATTAAAGCTAAACACCAGGTAAACACCAATAAATCAGAGGAAAGGGACAACTCTCCAAAGTGGACAAAGGTCTCATGTCAAGATGGCAAATATGTGAGTGGCAGAAATTTGGATAAGTACGGTCACAAGTCTGATCCTTGAGGATACTCATTGCATATAGAAACAGCATCTACCAGAAAGGACTGTGTTCAAGGTGATACTGAGGATGTCAACAGTATGAAGGTTTCCTAGAATACACTAACTTAGATGCACTCTCACTCAGAGGAGAGTGTCTGAGAAGAGTGTCTGAGAATGTTCCGCCTGGCGCCAAGTTTATACTCTTTTCAGCACCAGTCCAAAACCTTTTATTTAAACAGTATTTTAAAATTCAACAACTTTTAACCTTCAGTCGCTCTGTTTGCTTTGTGATTTATTGTTTTGTTTTGTTTCTATTATTTATTAGAAATTGTTTTAATTGTTCTTTTAAATATTGTAAGCCATCCTGAGATTTTGTATAATAGGACGGCATACAAAAGCTTTTAATAAATCAATAAATAATAATTAAATAAAGTGCAAGGTGAGTGAGTATGAAGGGAAGGACGATAGTTGCTAAGCTAAGCCTAAGGTAGCAAGCCTCAGGCCCTACAGTCACTGTAACAGATATTATAAATACATTGAAACAGGAGACTTATACAGAAATGATAATGTTGATAAAATTGCTTTCAGCAGGTCACTTCTATCACTGTTCTTATACATGAATCCTCAAATGAAGCCTAAAAGTATGCCAATTCCATGCAGCTGTGTAACAAAATCTGACCTTCATCTGTCATAGCAAAGAATTGTGCATGAGGATATTTGAATGTTGCCATGGTAATTGCTAGAATATTTATATGATAGCCCTGAAAACAACCTGCTACTTAGAAACAGATTCAAGTCAGAACTATACTGTAGCTCATCTACTACACATTTAAATACATCAAAATGCTTGTATTATTCATTTCAAAGGACTCTTTCTTGTTCAGCAAAGGTTAAGTCAGCAGCACCATATACTGAGTACATTTTTATGCAGTTATACAACTGGAGCAACTACAGAAATTATGATTCTTTATTTGGTTTGCCAGAGCTGCCCTGAAAATGTTGAATTTCCCAGCTACCCAGGTTACACACTCTCTTGCTCTCTCATGCATGCAGGTGCGCTTCATTATTGCATAACACTAGTTCCATAAAAGCAGGTTGTTTACCTGTAACTGATGTTCTTTGAGTGGCCATCTGTGCAGTCACACATATGGGGTGCTGTGCCTGCGCAGTGCCTTTGGCCAGAAGATTGCAAGCTAACAGTTTTTGGCGGGAAACACTCCGCTCCCCCTCCCCCTTAGCCTATAAAGAGTGGAGTGTCTGCCATTTTGTTCAGTCTTTGACAACTGAACGTATGCCCCCCATGTGGAAAAAAATTGCAAGTATGAGAAAGGAAAAAAGATCGGTACCATGAAAAAAAGGAAAAACTTTAAGTACCGATGATATGTCCACTCACCGACACCGAGCGGGGCCAGTGGGTGGGTTGTGTGACTGCACAGATGGCCACTCGAAGAACATCAGTTACAGGTAAGCAACCTGCTTTTCTTCGTCGTGGCCTCTGTGCATCACACATATGGGTAGATTAACAAGCTTACCATAAAAGGAGGAGGGGAGGTGTCCTCAATGAAGAACAGACGAAAGAATGGCTCTGCCAAAGGAGCAATCCTGCCAAGCCCGAACATCTAGACAATAATGTTTGGCGAAAGTGCAAGGGTTCGCCCAAGTAGCAGCTCGGGATACATCATCAATCAGGACCCCCGATGCAAAGGCAGATGAGGCTGCAACAGCCCTAGTCGAATGGCTTCGAGGGGCTGTAGGTAAATCAATCTTAGCCAGTTGATAGGATAAGGTTATAGTATGGACTATCCACTTGGAAAGTCTCTGCGGAGTGACTGGATCGCCTTGCTCTCTGGTGGAATATTTAATGAATAGTCTATTTGAACGTCAAATAGATTCATTCCTCAATCTGTAGAAGGCTAAGCAGTGCCGAACGTCAAGTGAGTGCAAGGATCTTTCTAATGGAGTTGACGGTGATGGAAAAAAGGCAGGTAAGATAATATCCTGTCCCATATGAAAAGGTGTAGCCACCTTAGGAAGAAAAGATGGGTCAAGGCACAAAACGACCTTTTCTCTGTGAAAATTCAGGTAAGGAGGGTCTATGCGGAGAGTGCAGAGCTCACTGGCCCTTCGGGCTGAAGTGACCGCAACAAGAAACACTGTCTTCCATGAAACCAGACGCAAATTGACTGTTGCCAATGGTTCGAAAAGAGCTCTCGTAAGCGCTTGCAGAACAACAGAGAGACTCCAGGTAGACATTACTGGTCTGATTGATGGATTAAGATTATGAAGTCCCTTAAGAAACCTCTTAACAGTAGGTTGAGAGAAGATGGGTGATCCGTCAACTAAGCCACGATGGTAGGCTATTGCTGCCGTATACACTTTAACTGAAGACAGTTTTAATCCGGAATGGTGCAGTTCTAATAGGAACTGAAGGATTTGATGTATCGATGATGTAAATGGAGAGAACGAATGAGACACGGCAAAGGTAGAAAATTGTCTCCATTTAGCCGTGTAGGACTTCCGTGTGGATGGCTTCAAAACAGAATCAAGGATGTGTTGCATATCAGGATGAAAGGCTGTCGGATTCGACGGGTCAATCCTTGAATCAGATGGTATGGAATAAAGAAATGAAGAGGAAACGCCGAACCCACTGGATTCAACGGCAGGATTCTATTCACTTGAAGTTGTCGTTGATACCGGTGGCGCAATGGTACGGGGGAGCCAATGAGGAGGACTCCACTGGGGAGAAGGAGTGGCTACTTCCACCCCGAGGAGGTATTGGGGATGCACGCCTCGAGTCTGAAGACTGCAGTCGGTCGTGGGACAGTGGCGAAGACCGACCTCTAGGAGCGGGATAGTACCCAATGGAGAGCGGATTGCCCCAGGTATGATAGTATGAACGACGCCATCCCTCCGAGCGCTGCTCCATGAAGCGACTCCTCCGGCTCCTAGGCGGGGACATCTCCACATCCGCCTCCACTGTGGCTGCGGGCATAGGTGTGGGCGACCTAACCCTGGGGGGGGGGGGAGTCCTGAATTTCCCCATCAGAAATTGAGCCTCTTTGCAGAGTTGGAAGAGGCCCAGCAGGAAGTTCAGCCACACGGCGAGAGGACCTTTGAGGGGTAACCCTCATAGCCTCCTGAAGCACCGGGTTGGGTGTAGTCAGTACAGTAAGTGCTGCTGGTACTGAGGGGGCCGTTGGACCTGAGTCCCCGTGTCGAGGACGCTCCGGATTCTTTGGTTTCTTGGAAGGTTTAGGAGCCTTCTCCTTCCTGGCCTTCTTATGGCCTGCCGATTTGTCAGGTTCGGCATGCTTGTGCTTCTCGTGCTTCTTCTTGGGAGAAGCAGGCGGAACCACCATAGCAGATGCACCTTCGTCTGAAGGGCGTAAGGGTGGGGCCACTGAAGCAGAGCCAGGCTTCGGAGCAGCAACAAGCGGGTTGGACTGCATGAGAGCCCGATCCCATAGAAACCTCCAGAGGCAATTCTCACGATTCTTCCTGGCCTGCTTAGAGAAGGCCAGGCAGTGAGAGCATTTATTGGTCCTATGCCCCTCCCCCAAGCAGAGGAGGCATAGGTCATGCGGGTCAGTTGGAGACATTTTTGACCCACACTCCGCGCATTTGCAGAAAACCACTCGCTGCGCCATCGCAAGAAAGAGAAAAAAGGGAGATAGTGCAGAGGGTAAGTGTGTGTGTGTGTGTGTGTGTGTGTGTGTGTGTATTTAGATAAAAGATTGAAAGAAAGGTAGAACGATAGAGAAAACTCCAAGAACTATACGAAGTAGAGGAACTAACAAGAACTAGAAGAAATACCAGGGCTATAACAACTGGGAGAACAATCGAGAAGAAGAACAGGCTAGATGAGCAACGGTCAGAGCGAGAGCGAAAGCGGCATGAGGCACAGTGAACAGCGGTCGCAAAGAATGAACAAAATGGCGGATGCTCCTCTCTTTATAGGTTATGGGGGAGGGGGAGCGGAGTTTTTCCCACCAAAACCCGTTAGCTTGCAATCTTCTGGCCAAAGGCACTGCGCAGGCGCAGCACCCCATATGTGTGATGCACAGAGGCCATGATGAAGAACAATGTGAACTGGACACCAAAATATCTGAAAGAGTTTTCTAGTTCTTGTGATCTCTAGAGAAACTCAAGAGTGCTTGTCTTGGTTTTTGCCTATGTGATTCCCTTGATGTTTCATCACTGGGAATTTTATAGTAGGGAAGCTTTTTTGGCCCATGGGCTGGATTGGTCCCTCCCTCATAACTGTCCCTACACAGAGAAAAAAATGGGTGAGGATGTCAAAGGAAGACCTGGGGAGGGCTTCTGTAGGCCAGATGAGGAATCCATGAAGGTTAATTTGATCCACAGGCTGGAGATTCTCCATCAGTGATTATGTGATCCAGTCAAGAAACTAATACATCTATTTCTGAGCCAAGTGGAGTATATTCTAGAAGGAATTTTTCAAATCGTTGTCTCTAACTACAAGAACTAACGAAGAGAAGCTTATAGATTATTTTAACACTGCTTTTTTGTTGTTCATGCAACAAATCCAATGGTATCAGATCCTACTGCTTTACATTCCGGTTTGAATGTTCAATTTCAAGGTGGATTCTGTGTGTTTTCATTTTAGTTTACACATTTAGTTTAACACGTAGCTCCTCATCATTCTGAAATCTCTGTTTATTAGAAGACTCACTCTTCCAGAGGCAGAAGTTACTTGTCAAAGAATGAAATCTAGTGCACAGCAAGAAAACCCAAAGCTATGAATCCGTGTGTCAGAGTGCACCTCCACCCAAGTGACTCATCTCCTCATTCACTGCAAGCAATATCTTTCCAGGAATAATACTTAGGATAAAATTGCTCCAGTCTTTCTCTAGAACTTTCGGTGCCAGGTAAAGACCTTTTTATTTAAACATCATTTTAATTGTTAAAACATATGATCTGGCCAGGGCAACTTCTTCTTCCTTCTCTTTTCTCCTCCTATATTTTTATTTACTTATTTTATACTGATAATTTTAATTTTATATTTGTAACTCAGTGTATTTTTTGTATTTTTGTATTTAATGGTAATTTATTATGTTCTATTGTATTTCAATGTATTTTATTGTGTTGTAAGCCGCCCCGAGGTTTCGGCAAGGGGCGGCATAGAAATGTTATAATAATAATAATAATAATAATAAAAAACTTAATACCAACCTGCTCAGTACGACCTTTTTGCATCTCCAGCACAGCCAAGTTATTGTAAGCTTCTGCATGGTCATTGTTGTTGGCCAATGTCAGTTTCAAACACTGATAAGCCAAGCTTATATCTCCTATTCCCTGTAAAAAAACCAGTACATTATGCTACTTATATAACAGCCAAGTGTCAAAGAAACAGAAGCAAGAATGGGACTATTTAGGTAGGAGGAGACTTGATTCCTTTATAGCTGAAATCAAGAAGAGTGAATGTAGGTTTAATCCCTGCCCCAAACCTGCACTAACACATGTCAAGCCACCCCAACCCACTGAGATCTTGCTGGTGGGTGGGGTAAGAGGGTTAACTCTGAGTAGTATCTCTTTTTGCAAAAGACCTCTATTGAGACTTTCCTAGTTTCCTCAAAGCAGCAGATATGTACTCCAATATGCAACAAGCAAAAGACACTACTTCATAAAGCTTTAAATCTAAGAGTAGTGTCCAATGTTATTCCTATGCACAGCAGACCTACTAAATGAGACTCAAGTTAGTTATAACTAATTGAACTCACTTATCTTTTATTGTTCTTATATTTTATTGTACACTGCCCAGAGAGCTTCGGCTGTGGGCAGTATAGAAAGGAAATAAATACATTAATAATAATAATTTCAGTAGGTATTCTGTACATAGAACTAACTCTGAATAGTACCCTAAATCTCTACCCTCAAACTAATCTGATCATTGCGCAGTGTTAATACATTATTGGTTAGCTGTCCTAAAAAATTTCTGCGTAAATTATTCCATAATTTCTGCACAACTATTTCAAGAAAACGTTCTGAACAAATTATGCTCTTACCACAGCTACATGTCCCAAGTTGTACCACACATCTGCAACCTCCTCCTCACTTTCAGCTAAAGAGAGTGCACGTTCAAAGGAGCTGAGAATCATGTCATATTGCTGGGCATAGAAACAACAGAGGCCCAGGTTGTTAAAAAGTTGGCTGTTATAAATGCCCATCTGTAGCAGTCGTCTAGTTCAAGATAAAAATTCATTAAGCTTGTACTTTTGCTGTATGGATAATGAAAGCTACTCATATGACATAAAGCAATTCTTGTAATAGAAAAAATGGTTATAGAGAATAATTTTAATATCATGGGGCTTGCCGCAGCATGGTTACTTTCCATGCCAGTTGGTAAGTCCACACAATTGTCACCTCTTTTAGGAACTAGAGCAAAGGAGAATATCAACAATAGCTACAATGAGATCACAATGGTTTCTATACTGCCCAAAAGCCAAAGCTCTCTGGGCGGTCTACAATCATTAATAAAATCCAGTATAAAATATAAAAATGAAATCATAAAGTGAAATTAAAATGTAAAACTGATTTTTTGCAAATTAACAGGAAAGGCAGAGCTTCTAGTAGGCCTTATCTTTGGCATTACTTGCTGCTGTGGGAAGAAGCTATATAGCAGTAGTTCTTTCACAAAAGTCAACAGGCCTTACACATGTGACTGTAGTGAAATTCATATTAAAATCAGTGAAATATATCAGCATTACTAAAATCAGTATTACTAGATCTCTTATCCACCCCCAAAACAGAAATATTTTTCACTCCCAACAAAAATGAGATTAGATACAATGCAGGCCTTTACAAATAATGTGCTTTAATTATCATTAACATCCCACAGGAATCATGCACTAGTAACACAAATAAAGCACTCTTGTTGCAGAGGAAATGGTTGTTCAAATCCTGGGGCACCTTCATATCTAACAGATTTATGATGACATACATTTTCATAAGCTAGACCCTTGCTAAGCAACTGTCAGGTTTAAAAACTCCTTTTCCTGGGGTTCTTTCCCCTTTTATCCTCTCTAACATGAAAAGACACACCTTCGCCATTCTTTCTGAACACCTATTGTAAGATACCAAGGCTACCTTCACCCTCTTTTATTTGGTGGCCTCAGATGCTGGTGCAAATTGCTAGCAAAAGCTGCTGGGCAGAGCGTAATAAGCAGGAGCTTTTTCTCTCAAAGCAACTGAGATGCATTCTTTAGAGAGCAAATTATTTTCTGGACAAAAGAAAACCCAAATACACCACTGAGAACAAAATTTAAAAATAGAAAAATGAACAAACTGTTTACCGTATCCTCAGTGGATATGACATAAACAGGCCGCATATTACTGGAAGACAGCACCAATAAGAGCAGCTCAGCAACAAGGACTGATTTCCTCATGGGATTAAGAAAAAGTTATATAAACATCTCTCAAGAATGTTTTAGGAATAGGGATTGAGCTACAGATCTTATATCGGTCCCTGATAGGGCTGTAATATTTGGATTTTGGCAAAGATCTAATCCATTTGGCCCAAAATTTAGCATTTAAGATACATCACATAATTAGAATTTTTTTTTTCTGCCAACATTTGAGTCTTGAATACGCTCCGAGTGCATGCATGAGTGCACATACAAACACATACCTGTAAAACCGCAATGCTATCTCAGGCTGGTCAGAATAAAAGTGATTACTTCCAATGCATGCAATGGCTTCCACATGAGTATTGTCCTGTTTTAAGACATCTTTATAGTATTCTGCTGCTGCAGAAATGTTGTTCATTTCCTATAAGGAGTGGGGACATGAAATAAAAAATGTAAAAGCATTTTAATTGTACAAAGTGCTAATGATAAACTTTGAAATAAAAGTATAAGCATAGTTCATAAAAAACACAGATAAGTTTAAACCTGGATTTTAATTCACTGCTATCCAGTATAACAGGCTTACATTGCTTGCAAATACTTTTCTCTTTCTGTATCGCCAGAGAACAAATATCTTGCAATGGATGTGTATACATGGCATATACATTTGAAATGGTGCCCAAGGAGTTTTCTTCAACTCTGTGTACAGTAAGTAACCATATGTTAGAAACTTTCTCTTGCTATGTTCGAAGCTTTCCCTTGCTAACCACAAGCAAAGTACTACATAATAGCATTGGTTTCCTATAGCACAGAAGCACGCTCTTTTCTCTTTGCTCAATTGCAAATGTCAGTCATAGTTTAAGCCTTTTATACGGCTGCACAAAGGCTTTCTTCTCAAAGTGGAAGGTACTGGCAGTTCTTTGAAAGGCTGCAACCCTATATGTATATACCTGGGTGTAAGTCTCACTGAACTCAATGGAACTTAATTCTGAGTACACATAGGAAGCATTATGTTGCAGGGTAGCATTGGTGGTTATTCAAAAGAGAAGCTTCTCCCACAATATTCATGGTCAAAACAAACCTGTTCTGAGAAGGTCTCAATATTATAGGTAGGATAAATAGCATAATATAGAATGCACAAAATATACCTTATTGTTGTTAGCAGCCTTGAGGGCTTTTTTGAAAGGAAAGGAAGGATCTAAATGTTTTGAATTAGTCAATATAACAAAGGGGTTACTTCTGAAACACCATTTCATCACATACTAAGTTGTTAAAACACTTGGTAATACTAGAATAGGTAAGTCCAGCTATGCACGTGATTAGACAACTGCAAAATTCTATTTTGAAAATAAAATTGAATTATCAAATATCGAAATCTCCTTTGTTTTCCTAAAGGGCCCAATAGCATTAATAAAAACTTTCAATAGCATTAATAAAAACTTTCAATTTAAACCAAGTGCTTTGCATTACATCTTTCTGCTATATTTTATACTTTTGAATGATTCTTCTGAAGTGAATTGTTCCAGCTTCTTAGTTACTTTTATGAAGGTCTGCAAAAACTGGCTGCTTTTTTAAATCTAAGTTTATAATGTGTGGCATATTTATTGAGAAACAAGTCTCCCTGAGTTCAGTGGGACTTAGTATCTGTAATGGATTGCAACCTTTTGTAAACTACTTAAGCTTATAGAAGAAAGCAGCCTATAAATGTTTTAAGCAATCACTGAAAAACTTGCTCTGCTGAAAATGTACTGTTGTATAATCTTCCAAGTATTTATACTATAATGCAATTCTTACTGACAAAGCAAATCCCCAAATTGTTCCCAATACTGATTCAATCAACCCTGGTCTACAAAGAACCCTGCTGATGAATCCCACTGACAGAGTTTTTAAAAAAATCCATCCATACATTTGCACTTTATTGTTAGGGACAAACAAAACCTTGGAGGACTGATGGGGGTCACAGTTTAATTTCTATTAATGCCACCTTTGGCTAAATATGGATTTATCTCTGACGTAGTTAGAACTACAAAATGCTTCTCCGGCAGAAGTTGAGAGAGAAGTAGCTCAAGTGATAAGAAGACATGCTTTGCATAAAAAATGGCTTAGGTCCCATCTCTAGTATTTCCATTCTGAAACCATAGAAAGCCACTGTCAGTCAAGGTATATTTTACTAAATTTGATGACTGGTGTGACTGGGCATATAAGGCAACTTCCTATGTTTCTTTATTCTGAAACAAGGCAGACTGGTTTGATATCTCCGCTCCCCACCCCTTCCGGAGCACTATCTGATTTGAATTAGTAAATGTTGAGAATCCATGTAGTGGATTTTTGAAGACAAAAGAGACACCATACTGAACATCTCTCCTATTTATGTAAGACAGAAACTTGTTTACATACCTCATGGATTCTGGCAATGCCACAAATAAGGGAGACCTCACCAGGAAACCGATCTAATCCTTGCTTGAAAACATTTAAAGCTGTCAAAGGCTGATCCAAGCGGGAATACACCTGAGGAAATAAGCTACTTCAATACTCACTTTTTAACATAACATGACAACTGGTTGTTTGTCATATACAGAGGTCCATATTCTGTATACATCTATGTGCAAGAAGACTACACTAAGAAATAATGTGCAAAGGTGGAAAATTGCCTCTTGAGTTTGGTATTACCTCTCCCCTCCTTCCAGAAAGCAGTAGCTTCCTTCTACAGTAGAATTACAGGCTTTAAGAAATGGCACTATCACTGAAAATGCTTCGTTTCCTACTGCTCTTCTAAAGTTTAGTGCAAGCCATTTAATATCTTTATGCCAAGTGTCTCGTCAGCCCATGTGAAACAATGGCAGGGAGACTCAGAGCTGTGTTTAGTTTAAACACACCTTCACACAATGAAACTGAGTCTACCCTTCCCTTTTCTCCCCTTTTTTCCAGCATGGCTATGACAAAGAGATTATTAGCTTCTGCTTTTGTTTTAAATTTAAAATTTAAGCAGGAGTAGGAATGGGTGACACTGAAGAATAAAACCTACTTTGGTGCACCTTGCTGACGTGGAAGCTGAAAGCATGGTAAATTGTGTGTATGTATGTGTGTGTGTGGGGTCCACCCTTAAAGCAGGATGCAATTTGCGTATGTGTAAACACATATATAAGAGACAGGAAAAGATGCATCAAATATGGCTGCAATTTGCAGTGGTAACTTGTAATATACATTATGTGTAGGGGTAAGGGAGAGGTCAACATGATCTTTGGCTGATCTGAGCAGCAGCCTTGCCTTTTTTCAAACATGTAGTTCTGCCCTGTGGTTTTGTGCCAAACTATTGCCAGCCATCATGGATGTTCTCATTATACACAATAAGCAGTCAAGTTCAGCCCTAAGTATTACAGGTGTAGCCAACATTAAAGGGAATGGAAACAGATTACTATGGCTACAATAGCAAACCATTATTATAGAGAAGTACACTATTTCACACTGAAACATGACATTCTTAAGAATACAATTTGATCAACTGAAATGACACTGTCAGAAAGAATGATATAATTAATGGCCTCCAGATAGGTATACTGTCACCCTGCCTATTTAATGTGTATGCAGTGCACATAATGAGAAAGGCGGGGCTAGAGGAATCACAAATTGGAATTAAGATTGCCAGGAGAAATATCAACAGCCTCAGCTATGCAGATGATACCACTCTAATGGCAGAAAGTGAAGAGGAACTAAAGAGCCTCTTGATGTGGGTGAAGGAGGAGAGTGCAAAAGTTGACTTGAAACTCAACATTAAGAAAACTAAGATCATGGCATCCAGTCCTATCATTTCCTGGCAAATAAATGGAGGTAGTGACAGATTTTATCTTCCTGGGCTCCAAGATCACCACAGATGGGGACTGCAGCCAAGACATTAAAAGACGTTTGCTCCTGGGGAGGAAAGCTATGGCAAATCTAGACAGCATACTAAAAAGCAGAGACATAACCCTGCCAACAAAAGTGTGTATAGTCAAGGCCATGGTTTTCCCAGTTGCACTGTATTTTTGTGAAAGTTGGACCATAAGGAAGGCTGAGCGCTGAAAAATTAAGGCCTTTGAATTGTGGTGCTGAAGAAGACTCCTGCAAGTCCCTTGGACTGCAAGATGATTAAACCAGTCAGTCCTAGAGGAGATCGACTCTTGACTGCTCTTTAGAAGGCCAGATCCTGAAGATGAAACTCAAATACTCTGGCCACCTAATGAGAAGGAAGGACTCACTGGAGAAGAGCCTAATGCTGGGAACAATAGATGGCAAAAGAAGAGGATGGCAGAGAATGAGGTGGCTAGATGGAGTCACTGAAGCATTCGGTGTGAGCTTAAGTGCACTCCGGGGGATGGTGTAGGACAGGAAGGCCTGGAGGAATGTTGTCCATGGGGTCATGATGGGTTGGACATGATTTTGCGATTAACAACAACAACAAGACCAGCTTAAAAATGTGTCTTCATAAAAAGCAATAGTAGTAAAAATACCAGGATCACTGGAGTAAATCTGGCAACTACTTCTTACTGTCTCTTAAAATGACAAACAGCAGTAGCAATTTCCTGGGTAGAAATGAATAAATAAGATTTATTTTATTTTGTTTGCAAAGGTGTATTAGACCCTGATGATATGAAAGTGGTATTACCAATAAAGCAGGTCAGCTTTAAATAATTTGCAACAATCTGATCCTTGAAATGCTTACTTCTAGATGTCAGTGCTATATTGTATATAAAAAAGCCTTCAAAGCATTTACTGTACATTTCTGTTTATAATCTGAACAGCAGTTCCCAAAGGATTTGTCTCAGTAAAAATGTGCATTAAGACCTCAAAGACAGGTCTGCATTACGTCATGTTTCTCTTCATTTGTAACATCTAAACCTCTTTCATCTTTCAAATACTTTTCATAAGCACCTCTCTTCATAAACAGTTTCAGCAGCAGATTTACATATAAAGGAAAATTACAAGACTGCCTATCAACCTATCCCTCAATCTGAACTTGGATTTCTTCTTGGGTTTATGTTCAGCACAACATGTTTTGGTAAGTGTTGCTTTTAAAAGATGAGCAGTCCTGATGGAGATAGGCTGAGATACCTAGCACATGAGTCACTACCTTGTAGTTTAAGGCTGCACAGCTCCAGAACTTATTGATACATTAGGGGACTATGGGGGGACAGCCAACTTTAAACTATTCACACAGCTGAACAGGCAATTCAGCCTCCATTTAAACAGCACCTTGCCTTTTCAGTTGTATAAGCAGCTGCAGGAAAAAAGTCAAAGTGACCTCTAGCTGCCGGCATAGCATTCTTCCACAGCTTTGTAGAGTTGCAGCCTAAATAACCAAGTTGATGATTAAATAGATGATGGTGGTGGTGGTGATTACATTGCATTTATATCTTGCCTTTTCCCCTCTTCAGCATACAGTTAATGGTATCCATGATGGACTTTTGTCCCCTCCATCTAGATTGCTAAATCTAATTTTTGCTTGCACAACACGAGTGCACTTTCCTCCTTCCTGCCTGTTCTACTAATAGGTTAGTTAGGCTGGTTTGCACAATATGCTAGGCCAAATGGCTCCAGTCTGGCTTAGAAGCCACTCTACCTGTGATGTGCCTGAAAAATGACTGAGTGCATCCCAGGTAGGGTACTTCATGGTTCCCTTTCCTCCCCATTTGGTCCTAACACAAGTACCTGATGGGACACTGGCAGAACTCCAAGTTCGGCCCTCAAGCCAACTCGCAAGCTGACCACATGAGCTGCTGTGGATACTGCTTCTGTCTGGTGCCACACCCGCTTAGTGACAGCACTACTGACACTGCACAGGTGAAGTGTGAAATGAGGGTGGGGTGAGCCATGCTCTGCTTGGTCTTCTCTAGATAATGCTGAGCAGAGTGTGCCCAACTTGCCAGTGCTGCCCCTGTGTGATGCTTGGTGGCAGCAGCACCATATCAAGGACTGGGTATACTCTGTTTGGCCTCCTCTGCAAGAGGCCAAGCTGAGCATGGCTTGCCCCACCCCGCAGTGCTACTGCCAAGAAGCAGCAGTGACAAACAGGGCAGCCTGTGGTTGGCTTGGCTGACACATGATCCGCTGAGCTGCTCCTTTCACCACACTGCAGTTGCCAGCCAACATCATCCTCATCTGCCCTGGCACAGAGGACAGTCTTTACCTGGGGCTGAAAGGAGAGTAAAGTTGGTGCCAGCCAGGCCTCAGTTGGGGACATCATTCCATAATTCCTGAACTATCACAAAGAAAGCCCACTTCCATGTTACCACAACCAAGCCTTAGAGATGGCAGTCAGAGAAATGTCTGAGACGCTGAGCATAACTGGGACAAGCTTTCTATCAGGTACTGGTATCCCAAGCCATCTAAGACTTTAAAGGTAATAACCCTCATCTTAAATCAGGACTGGAAGCATATAGGCAGCCACTCAAGCAGACTATTACTGGTGTTATGTGTTCAAAGATTTTGGTCCAGATTTGATAACCTGGCTGCCATATTTTTCACAAGCTGCAGCTTCAGAACTATCTTCAAGTGCAGTTCCACACACAGTGCCTTGCAATAGTCTAGTTTAGAGAGGACTGGTAGTTGTGGTGTGGGGATAGCCTTGACTGGCTGCCCTGCCCAGTAGCACAGGGCAAGGGGAAAGCTTTTGACAGCTGCTGCCAAGTGCTACTTGGGCACTTTGGGTGTGGCTATCTGAGCTGCATGCCCAGCACTTGCTCGTTTGTAGCAGTGGTGATTTCTTGCTTTGCGAGAAGGCAGGACTCAGTGGAGAAGACAATTATGCTAGGCATAGCTGAAACCAGAAGAAGAAAAGGAAGACCAGATAAGAGGTGGAGTGATGCCATAAAGAAAGCCACAGCCTTGAATGTAGAACAGCTAAGCAGGTGTCATGGATACAGCATTTTGCGGGGTTTTAATTCCATAAGTCAGAGATGACTGGATGACACATAACAACAACAAGGATTTCTTGAGGTATAATCTGGATTCAGATGACATGGCAAGCTCAGGGATGGCTACTAAACCCTACAACAAGCAGTGACTGAAGGGTTGCTTTTAAGCCTGGAAGTTGTGCTTATACGCCACCCCAAATAAGACATGGCAGATTCACATGACACAAGAAACCTGATTTGGGGTTGCACTCAGCAGTAATGACTGACAAGACATGACAAAAATCATATTGTATGAACCCAGTCACTTTTGAATATAACCCCAAATGTAGTTTTTATTTATATTTATATACATATATATGTATGAGAAAAAATAGTATAGGGAGGAACTCTGAAAGAATCTTATGATTTTAACAAATTATTGCAATGATGAATTTCTACTGACATTAACGTAAACAAAGGAAATGGAAAAATCAAACAAAATTAAACTGTATTAAGCAGAAAAGGTAAAGGTTTTGTCCAGCCTGCAAAAGGTAAAACAAATTCAAATTTAAGCTCTGCTTTCACCTCACTTCCAGACTACAGTTTCAAAATGTAAATCTGAAATGAAATGTTAATTGTATAGCTCAACTTACCTTTGCCAAATACAATACTGTATCTACCATATCCTGTTGTTTGAGAGCTGATTTAAATTGTGTTTCTGCTTCACGATATAATCCTAGCCTGAGGGAAGACAGAATAATAGATGTGAAAACTGAAAAACTAGTAGCAGTTTTAACCTTATATTTTAATAAATATTCTAAATTATGAGCTACAAAAGCATATAGCCCCATGCCTCAACATATTACATTAGAAATAAAATTTCCAGTTTCCCCCCAGCTGGGCAGTGGACATTTAAATCTTTTTCTGGCCCTGCCCAAAACATCTTAAAATAGAACTTTGTTTGTTCAATTTGTCCAAATTTATTCACAGACATTCACAGACAACATACATGGGAAAAGTCATAGAGCAGTACTCACCCCTACCAATTCCATTCTACAAGTGGAACCAACCTTTTCCTCAAGGGGGATTCTAGTATCAATTTTAAGAAGCCCCATAACTAGCAGAAATGCTCATTTCTGAAGTGGGGAATGTCAGCAGAACTCTCTTAATGTGAGCTCTGCGGAGCTGTACTGATACAAGCATGATCATATCCGTCCATTGCCAGTTGCCAAGTGTTAAATCCTTACTGCACAGCAGTGGGTTCTGCTTCTAAAACAAAACTGGCAATGGTGCCTGCTTGTACAGTGGCCTGTTTAGATACTGCTCATTGAGGCACATAGTCTTCAAATTGACTCTATATGATGTTTTTGTATTTATATAAAAATGAGTGTTGATCATTTTGACAGCCATGCAAATTCACCATTAATTTTCAGCCTCTTTCATTCACCAGGCAAAAATCTATACAAAACCTAGTTAATTTCCAAGATACACTAAATCTGTATAATTTCTCTCTCTTGCTGAAACACTCTTAATCAAGATTATAAATAATAAACAGCCCCTTTCCAACAGCATAAATTGTGTAACTTTTTCCAGACAGCCCTTCATGCATAAAGAATAAAAGTAACTAAAGTAATGGCCTTGTTCACACAAGACAACAAACCATGGTTTAATTAACCATGGTTTGTTGAATTTTGTATTGTCAGTAGGTGCATACCAAGAACTGCGAGTTAACTATGGGTTGCTAACCATGAACAACCATGAAAAAGAGCCCATGGTTTGGGTTGGATTGTGAAATGTGAATTGTTTAAACCATGGATTATTACATTCAAACTCAGAATCCTAGATTGATTTGTAAGGCTACAGGCAAGTAGCAGGCAAGTGCAATTTAAAAAATTAGCCTTTTTACATGCCAGTACTGCAGTGATATAAAGGTAGTAGGATACATAGAGGAAACAGGCAAAGGAGAGAAACAAAGAACTCAAGGACTGAGAAAACTAACCATGGTTATTCAAATCATCTCCTATTTAGCATGGTTTATGTTAAATAAACCATGGCTTACCATTCAGTGTGAACCTGGTCACTGTATTAGGCCCAATATTACTGCAGTGGCACAAGAATTATCAGCCACTCTGTTTATACTTATATATACTTAAAATCTTATATTTAATTAATCTGGTTGCACAGAGGAACTACTTTCCTCTGCCTAATGATGCAGCTTTAATTTTCAGCCACTCATTTAGCATATTCTGTGACAATATTATTTGCACGAGTTTTGCCACCTTCAAAAAACCCTTTAAATCAAATTAAGAGAATGGTGCAAATTATTAATTATTCACTTCCATTCAACTGATAGGTGCTTTGTTCTCTTTGTTCTATCTCTAGAGACTCTCCCTACTCAATTGCCTGCACTTGACTCTTACCTCTGATTCAAACTCATATCCAATTTAAAACTGAGATTTTCCATCTTAGGGAAATCTCACAAAAAAACTTAGGGGTCCATCTTAATTGTGAATGGAAATGGCTGCTGGCTTGAAATGAGACAAAATGAACTTAGATCTTTCAGAATGTTTGTTTGCAAATTAGCTCATGGCTGAAACTGAAGAAGATGGTGAGGTTGAAAGAGAATGAAGGATGAATGCACATGCATATCATTCCCTTTAACATTCATGCACCTCAGCACATGCCTCAGTGGCAGTTTGGAGCTAGGAGCAAGCCCTATGAGGCAGCTGACATATCCCCATGCTGGAGTGGATCAAGTCCTCCATTTTCATAGAATCACAGAACAGTAAAGCTGAAAGAGGGCAGAAGGCTACTGGGTCCATTTTAAAATGAATGAGATATTTTACCTGTAATAACACTTCCCAATTTGCACTTTCCACCACCAGTCCTTGAACTGGGCATGTTGTGTGGCATATGCTGCCAAATCTAAAGCCTTGAAAGACAAAGAAACCTTTTGAAAATCAGTTTCAATTTAATGTAAAAATATATAGTTGAGAATGAGCAAGGCATATATGCCCCATAAGATTAAAGCAGAGAACATCACATATAAGAGAAAAATATTGCTTTTTGCCTGTTTCTTTATTGTGCTATATATGTTAAAACAGCAGAGGAAAGATAAAAGTATTTATTTATTTTGTTTGTTTGTTTGTTTGTATGCTGCTAACAATTCCAACAGGAATCTCTAAGTGGCTTACAACAATAATCAGAATCACAACCATTAAAACAGTAAAATAATAAAATCATCATATAAAACAACAATAAAATATAACAATGGCCATTTAAGAATGTAACAAGTGAGAACAACCATATACTTCAGTATATAAATATTTTAAAACAGTTTTAAAATCAGTTACTGAAATATCTGGAAAAGAGAAATGTTTTTGCCTGGCGCTGGAAAGTAAATTATGTTGGTACCAGACAAATTTCTCTGGGTAGCCTGCTCCATAGATGGGAGACAGCCACTGAGAAGTTCCTTCTTCTATTTGCCACCCTTCTCACCTCCTTGAGAAATGACTCTTTTAGAAGGACCTCTTGTCCAGATCTTAATGGGCAGGTAGAGATATATGGGAGAAGGGGGTCCTAAAGGCTGCTTAGGACTTTGTATGTCAAGACAAGCACATTAAAGTAGCACCAGGTCCTACTTAGTATAAGCCCCATGCAGAATTGCATTAACAAACCTAAACATAATCAATTGCTTAAGTGCTAGAATGTAACTCTTCCCAATCCTGAATGTCTTGAATGTCATGCTGGATCACACATTTCAGTATAATAAAAATGTACATGCCCACAAACATGTATTAGACTGTCTGTACAGGTGGACTGTGGATGGTGCAGTGGTTTAAACTGCTTCTGGGCTGCTTGACTGAAAGGTTGACAGTTCGAATCCACAGACAGGGTGAACGCCTGTGCTTTGTTCTAGCTCCTGCCAACCTTGCATTTCGAAAGCATGCAAATGCAAGTAGATAAATAGGTACCACTTCGGTGGGAAGGTAACAGTGTTCCGTGCACTTCGGTGTTTAGTCATGCTGGCCACAAGACCATGGAAACTGCCTGTGGACAAACGCTGGCTCTCTCAGCTAGGAAACAGAGATGAGCACCACCCCCAAGAGTCAGTCATGACTGGACTTTAATGTCATGGGGAGACCTTTACCTTTTTACCTTTTCAGGTGGATAACAAGGAGATGCAATTTAAAGGGTTGTGAGAATGGCAGCAGACATCTAATCAGCCTTCCTTCACACCTACCCAGTCAACCAATTTTTTGCAACATCTTGGTTGATTAGGTGATCTGGATATCTTGAAAGCTTGCACAATTTAGGGGATCTTTGAGTTGGCCTCATAAAGGTATAAAGCGATTTTTTATGGCCAACAGTTGCTTTATTCAAAAAAAAAAAAAAGGATGTACATAATCAATACCTTTAAAGACAAGTATAGTGCTAAGATACAGCACAGAGAAGCACGCCTTATTCTATAAAGCAGACTGCAAAATCATATTCATAAAAATACTCATACCATGTAAAATCAGCAATTGTCATCAGAGAACGACTTTGTTTCAAACAATTCAACCCTTGCTATTTAAGTACAGAATTCCCTGCTGGTAAATCATGTGTATATTCTAATCTAATTTGGCTTCTGAAATTTCTACTTCCAAGTGCTGTAGAAACAATCTAGATTGTGCATGCCCTGGTGTTCTGATGTGACATTTCAAAGCTCTAAAATTTGTTGTTCACTGAATTTTCAGTGCTACTAAAGTTCAATTATCTCAAAATGAGCCTGCACAACCTACTCAAGCTAACAACTTAAGACAAAAAAATTATATGTAATTGAGACCGACACACATTTTCTTTGAAGCAAATTTGATAAATGCCATGAGAAACGCAGGTGCACTTGAAAATATTTTCAAAACACAGAATGGGATTCAGAGTTAAGTGTATGCCTGATCAAAATTCAATTCTGTAGAAATGTGCAACTGCAGATATTTGAACACCAGGAATGGAAGTTTTTACCAAGAAGGGAATTCTGTAATTCAGGACCCCTGGGTCTCAGCATTGGCCAAACTGGCACAATACTGAAAGGGTGGTAAGGCTGCATCATCTAGAGGAGTCCTGCTACTCTAAACCACTCAGATGCCGGAAAGTTCCACTAAAGCCAACCTTCATGACTGAGCAATGTACACGCATCATATCACATGTGTATTATTGCTTATTGGATGCTCTCTCCCTTCAGCTGTTCCCTGCAACTAAACACTCATGCTGTGTTTGACATTCCCTTAAGTTGGAAAAATAGTTTGCAGCTTGAAGTGACAGGAAGAAGGGAGCTGCGGGAGGAAAATCAGCCCCAGCAAGCTATGTGTTTGAGTTGCTGCTAACATGTGTGAAGCACCTTGCACAGGGCTGGACTTGGAACATTCCTGGGCACTTTTAAATCCTAAAATCACTTACACAGTTTCTATCACCTAGAGCAAACTGATACCCCTTAAAATGTAACTAGCATGCTTCAATTCTGCAAACACAATTTTTTTAAAAACTCAAAGTAAGGACACAACCAGTACATTATCTGGCAAGACATATGCTAGAAGGACATGGGTAGAACTCCGCTGTCCAGAGCAGAATTTAACAGCTGACAGAAGACAGCAGCTTTACAATATCAATGATCGCCATTCAGAAATAAACTCAAAAGACTGGAAATTATTTTTATGAGTGCCTGCCACATGGCAAGATCCTCAAGGTAGTGATATCCCTACAGAAAAATCCATCATAATGCTTTCCAGTCTAGGTTCTTCTTTTGCATGGCAAGTTGTTCTTGCAAACAATTCAGGCCACTAGCACATTGATCCATGCGCCTTTCCATATGTCCCAGGTTTCTGTTCTCTGATTCTAAAGAAATACGGATCTAAGGTAGGCAACAGCTTTATGGTATGCCCAAGTTGCTGCAGTATTTCAACTGGTCTATCATTTTAAATCAACTGCACAGCACATATAGTAGCACAGTTTCCCAGGAGTGGATTCAGAGATGGATGAGCAGAATTCTAGGTAGTAAATTGACTGGACTTTTTAAATATTTTTTGAAGTTAAACAATGCACCATTAATATCACAGAAGCTACAGCTAGAATTTTCTTCAACCAGTTTAATTGCAGTTGAAGCAGTAATTCAGTTGAAAAGAGACAGAATGATAAAGTTAAAAGAAAGCAGACTTACATTCTTAACATCATTCTCATGATGAAAAATATATTCAAACAATGCCTGTTTAGAGAAAAATTTACAAGATGCAGTCAAGCCACAGAAAAACAAAAGCCATTTATAATTACAAACAAACAGCCCACTTAAAGTCAAAAACAACTTTAATACAAAATGTTTGATGGATTAATGAATTCACTTGGTGAAAGCTTGCACAGAGTACTGCCATGTCAGGATAAGATTCTTAATTTTACATCAGAATCTGTCAAATTTTTCAATATACTAGAGCTCTGAGTAACAGAAAGCTCCTTCTGTTCCAGCCACAGCCCCTTGCATCACATTAAGCAGTGTTCCAAAGGATCTTACACAAGTAGCTTGTCTGTGGGGTGGGGTGGGGTGGGGTGGGGGTAATAAAGAAGGGACAGAAAGGCCACAGCAGATGTATGGAACCCACCATTTGTTGCCCTTTGGACTCTGGTGGTTGCAACTAGATCTCTAGAGAATATTAGCTATCGGGCAGATTAGAGATGTTTAATAGTTTATCTAATAAATATTAGATAAATGTAAATAAAACAAATCATTAGAGGATTAAGGGCATAATCTAATGAAGCTGCCTGCAACCCTTCAAAGTCAGAAGATGAAGGGCATTCAGTGAGGCATAGAGTATGGAGAGGAAGGCAGTTTCTGCATTCCTCCTGCCTGCAAAGCAGCTAGACAGCTGATTTTGGCCATCTAACTGTATTGCTTAGGAAGGAGAAGAAAGGAAAATAATGCACTGCCAAGATACATCATATCAATACATCTCTTCTCCTGTCTGCTCACTGTAACAGACCTTAAACCCATTCTACAAATTGCTCTTGCAACCCTAGCGATGCAGCTGGCAAAGTCCTTTCTGTGCTGGCTATGGTGAGGGAAGGATATTCTGAGTACAGGTCCACAGCTTTGAGGTTGGAGCTCTTTTCTGACCTTTAAGCTGGGAATCCAACCAATCCTATGGCCCTCCTATAGATGCTGTCTATAGATTACAGGATTGCTCTGTCTGCCTTTTTATTCCTGTCTTTCCATTCAAAGCCAATACTGCTCCTAAAACCCAAGATCAGATTTGTGGTCAACTCAGTAATGGGTAGAAGTTATACAAATTGAAGAGAATTTTATCAGTTTGTTTCTTTTGCACAATGTATTCCACTTCTGCTAGTCTTGAGAACATAGAATGATCTAAGCAGGGAAGATTGCTCATTCTATCACCTTGAGAAACTTGTCTCAGTTCCTCACTGCCCTTTCGGATATTACCAGACTTAGCCTTTGTGAGCCCTCAATTTCATTTATTTCATTTCTATACTGCTAGAGCTCGCTGAGCAGCAGTTCATACAACAGTTCATAAAAAGAACTGAATAAAATAGAAAACACTGTCATAAAATCTTATACAAATATAAACATTAAAAACATAAAAATTAAGAATTAAAAATACACAATGAAGAATAGTCCTGTAAAAAAGAGCAAGAAACAATCTTATATGTTGAGACCATGGGTTCCAATTATTAATCTGGCTGCCACATTCTGCATAAGCTGTAGCTTCCAAGCAGTTTCCAAGAGCAGCCCCACATGAAGCATAGATTACTTGAAAGCAAGCTGGCCCCATCCAAATAGGGACATAGCTGGGCCACCAACCAAAACTTGTACAAGATACTCCATGCCACTGAGGCCACCTGAACCTTATGTTACAAAGATGGTTCTAGGAGAACCTACACACTACAAACCTGCTCATTCAGGGAGAGAACCACTCCATCCAGAACAAATTGAACACCCTCCATCTGCTTTCCATGATATTTGAGTATGTTTTGAGCTTCCTCTCACTGCTCTGTACTCTTTATGTATGTGTGAAAGCCAGCCACAAACACCAGTACAGGGAAGCAAAAAGAACAAAATGGGGTGGAAGGAGTTGAAAGCATCTCACAGCTGCAGAAGCAAAAGAGCTTTGGGACTGGTATTCTTTATTAGAATATGAAGCAGAATTTTGAAAAAAATGACATTTCCTAGTAAGGGAAGCACCAAAGTGAGGTAAGAACAAGATACAGTGGTACCTTGGTTCACGAACTTAATCTGTTCCAGGACTCTGGTCGTGACCCAAATTGGTCATGAGCCAAGTTAAATTTCCCCATAAGGTTCAATGTAAATAAGGTTAATCCGTTCTGTAACCATTTTTTAAATCAGAAAAATGTGAAGCAACGTGACAACAACAAAGATAGCAGCCATCTCCCCCCAACCACCCCAAACACAAGCGCAGCCATCTCCCCGCCCCTCCCACCCCACACGACCAAGATCATGCCTGTCATCCCTGCACTTGCCTGTCATCCCTGCACGCACCCGTCATCCTTGCAGGCGTCCATCATCCTGGCGTGATCGCGGGCGTACTGGGGGAGGGAAGATGGGTGCAAACAGTGCACTGGGGGTGGGGAGATGGCCGCAGTTGCAGTTCCGTTCGTGCAGGGAAGGCGTGCCTGATCAGAGGCGCGTTCCTGCAGGAAAGGCAGGTGGAATCTCAGCCATCTCCCCTGCGGCTCTGCTTTGCTGCTCCTGTCTTTCCTGCAGAAGCGCGCCTCTGATCACGCATGCCTTCCCTGCACGAGCAGAACTGCAATCGTGGCTATCTCCCCACCCGGGGGGGGGGGGGGGTGGAGATGGCTGCGATCTTGGTTGCCACCCAAAGCGGTGTTCACGACCCAAGTCAAAATTTTTCAGAAATTTTTGTTCATGAACCAAGGCATTTGTGAGCTGAGGTACCACTGTACCAATATGCTTGTTTCCGTAGCAGAGGTGATTGTGTACATTTGTACAAGAGCCCACTCCCCCCGATAAATACATTTCTGCATTCAGAAAACACTTTGGAAATTTAGTGCATGTCAGTTTCCCTTGGTAGCTGGCAACCCCCGTGTACTAGTTTCAGAAAAAGCTCTGACATAGGAAATGAGGAAACAAGGATTTCTCATGCAAAGGCCCCTGTGATATGTACTGGCAGCCACCAGAAGGACCGAGAGAGAAACAAATCATGGCAAGCCACTGAATGGGCCATTGCATTCTTTGGGTTCAGGAGACGCTACCCACCCACTGTGGCTTATTCTCAGGGTGGTTTAACATGGTGTGTGATTTTTTTTCACTGAATATTATCTGAATAAGCTGCAGAAGTTAAAAAAAAGCTATGGCTTCCAACCCATTTTTGGTGAGCCACTTAACCCTGCATTGCCAGCAGCATTTGTCAAGTGGCCAAATGGAAAACCTGAAATAAAAATCTATATATCCATTTGGGAAGTGACTGAGTTGTGTCAGGTTTTCATTCTGGTTTGCTTTTGCCTTCCTTGACCAATGAGGTCTCTGAAGTACATGCTCACAACTCCAATGTTTTAGAGAGTACTGAGAGGAGGAAATGCACTATAGCTGGCACTCTGATATCAAAAGGAAGATATATATTGCAATTTGAGATTTTGACTTGCAGATACACCCATAAATTTGTGCTCTGAGTGGATTCATAAAAGCTGGCTAAAGATTTTTTTAGTATTTTGTTTGTCTTGCATGCATGCTTAAAACCCCATTAGACAAGAACATTGTATTCTTTTCAACTCAGGGAGTGTCATACCTCCAGCAAATTATGGCTTTTTATCTGCAATACATACATTAAATGGTTTTTCTTGCTATACGATTACAAGAACACAGCAAAAATATGACTTGAAAGAAAGATGAATTATCTAGAACACTCCATTACAATTTGTTTATATTATACAAAAGTATGGGTTTGATACCTCTGAAAACTCAATTTTAGAGAAGCTCTCAAGAGCCAAATTCCATTAGCATGTGGGGCCAAATACAACCAAATATATCATATTTTAGCTTAAAGCTCTTACTATCAGTACCTAGCCTTGGGGAAGACATTCCAACCATTTCGAATGGTGGGGGTGTGTGGGGTGTGGAATACACAAGGTCCAGGAAACCACCTAAAGATCAATGGAGGGTCAAATTAGGCAGTGCTTCTGGGATTTCCCACCTCTGAGCTAGGATAATACACAGTGCTACCATTAATTTTGTTTTGAAATTATTCACACCATCTTAACATATTTGTGCAAATTCTTAAAAAATGGTATTTTCAAATAAAGACAAAGCTTTGGAGTCTGGCAGACAAAACAGTCAGCAAATACTCATTCAACTCCATGTTGCCAGTAAATGGCCAAGCAGGCTAAAATATTAGCTCCCATAACTGATACTAGACCCATAACAAAGTAATTGTGAATTGCATAATCTTTATTATACATTCCTTCCTGGAATGTAAATTCCCATTGCTGGCCTTAAGCTCCCATATAGCCTGAAGTGCCTGATCCTGCCTAATCTTGAAAGCTAAGAAGTATCAGGCCCAGTTGAAATCTGGATGGGTGACTTAAATATTTTGAACAACCTAGACAGCTTTGGCTACAGGACGTATAGAAATGTAATTTATAACAACAGTGATTACACATGGGACCATTCAGACATAATGGAAAACTGTTGGCACTGGCACTGAGGAAACGAGCAAGCACAAGCCTCAAGCTTGCAGGCTCCCTCCTCCCTTTGTGCACTGCTATTTCAACCTTTCAGTCATGGTTTGCAGCAAACTATGGGTTTGCCTACTTTGGATACAACAGGCAACTATGACCTGCCACAAGACAGAAGTAGAAGTTTCTATTCTTAATATAAAAGAAATGGTAACAGCCCACTCAACCCCTGCTCATTGTTTTTTAAGCACCAAAGCATGGCTTGATATTAGGTCTAACTGTTCCATAACTATCACTAATCACACAATTTGGTTAAGCCTAACCAGAGTTTGCTGCCTAATCAAGATTTGAAAACAACTTGGAACACTGCTTCAATTCTGATTTATTAAACACTGCATGTAATGCAATGCTTATCGGTGATATGAGTTAGCCGTTTCTGGAAACAGCATACAGTCCTATGATTTGCTCCCATCTGTTTTATCATGGATATTTATTTGGAGTATTATGTCTGTACTAGGCCTTTGTATCTCTCTTGGAGAAAATGGACAAGTACAGAAAAGTACTTTTCTTTTAACAAAAGCAGCAGGAAATTAATTGGCCCTAACATTGAAACACAGTATGCTCGTAAACAGAAGACATTTGAAAAATGCAAGGATGTTATATTAAACACCTTATTAAACACATACCTTTGCCAATTTTGGTTTCTGAGCATAATTATTTAAGTTCAGTTTGGACACATTTATGAAGGGGCCATCAGGATTTGTGAGCATTGAGGCCTGTAGGAGGAAAAACACCACAGTGCTACTTTATATGCCGGTTTGAATTATTGCTAACAAAACAACCTCTAATTCTGAAACTCCCAAAGTGGTGCATGCAAGCAACAACACACCCATTCAAATATTCCCTGGTGCCCACACTCCTCTCCATTCCCCTTTCTTGTTCCCTTCATGGAGTCAATCAGGTTCCATCCCTCCCATTGCTGCCATAGCAATAGCACAGCCTAATGACAAGCCTCAACTACAGGCTCTGGCCAACAATAAATAAAAGAAGGGGAGCACCTGGAATATCCACAAGTAAAATTGTGGGACCAACAGGGAGATCAGTGTATGTTGCTGTTTCAGCAATGTACATTTGTTTCAAGGAAGGCCCTTTCCTACTCTTCCTTCATTCCCCCACCCCACTTCACTGCAAAGTCCTTTGGTTGTTCTCTGTTCCTCGCTCTCTTCCTTTGCCGTTTCTCTGGATATAGCCTATTCAAGGATTCTTGCCACCTCTCCAGCATCTTCCCTTTTGCAGTCTGCCTGCCTTTCCCAGCCAGACATTACATCAGCTGCATTTATTAACAGCACATACAGTTTGCTCTCTCCTGACCCTTACCGTTCCAAGCCTGACATATCTCCCTGAAGAACTGGTCATTGGACGGGCAGTGTGAGCAGTTCTTGGAGTCTTTATAGCTTGTTCAATAGTACCTGGTCGTCCACCCTGTGTACTGGGTCGTACAAATCCAGTAAGGGGCCTCCCTGACTGAGTCACTGGCCTGAAATAATACACAGATTAAAAGACATGCTGAAGGGATTTTCTCTACTGCTGTAAAGAACAAAGGAAGTCTACAAATTGGAACTACTGAGTAAGGATGACTCTGCATTAGGTTGGTTTGCCATACATAAACTGAATATATCTGCAAACAGCTTTGGTTTATATCCACAAACAGCTTCACACTTCATCTTACATTGTGGCATTATTAGCTCTGCAGTAGAGTTTGAATGAAAATTAGTACCAAGTTAAAGAGGTATTTAATCCAACATAAGGCCTCTAATGACTGAGTGAAAAGATGGCCTGTAACATTTTCCACTTAACTAACTTCATCATCCAAATATGCTGAAAGGGTTTTGTTTCCTCCCATTCATACACTTTGCATATTTATGTCCTCCTAATTTTAAGGTATTTACAAATCTCATAAAGCTATACAGCCCACTACTTTTGCTCCCAATCTACTTTTGCTCACATTTACCAGTTTAAATTAATTAAATATAATGACTAGACACCTGGCTCAGTTAAGCCTATCAGCAAACTGAATACCTGACGGCCTGGCTAGGACCTCCACCCTGACTGGTTCCAGGGACTTTCAGTGAAGTACCAGGCCCTGAAACAAAAAGAAAAAAAGAAAATTAGAAGTAGTAGTTTAATTATTTTATGTTTCGAAGATGCTTCCCTGCCTCTCCTACCAAGCCCATTTATCCTTTTTGCCTTGCTCCTCTACAAATAGGCAATTTGTTACAGTAAATTTCAGTGATGCATGGGTGAGACGGAGAATCCAGGATTATACTTGCCTATGGAATGTTTTCCATGTCTAAAATTGTACTGATCGTAAAAATATTGAGCAAATCATGAATTGTTGAAATGTCATTCACACTGGGCAGTATAATTACTTGTTTTCAGGCATCTATTCATAGGACACATATGTTAACCAAACACAGTCTATTTGATACCTCAAGAACACTCAGGCAAGGAGAAGGCAGCTTCAAAGAGCTATATTATAAATGCTAATAGATAGTTGCCCTGCAATTAAACAGTTGAAGAGAAACACATTTTGGCCTCTGCAACTGGCCAGGGGACCAGAGCCACTCCACTGAAGAATATGATGACAAAGGCAAAGTCCAGCCTGACCCCTTTCATCAGCCAGAGAAAGATTAGCTGGAGGGAGTTTGCTTTCCATCACTCTGATTGAAGTGATTGCAGAAGTGATGGAAAAGGATGCTGTCCTCTATGGACTCCCAGAGAATTAAGGACCATCTGTATAGGTGGTTGGTCCAGTGCTATGCAAGGAAGAGCAATCACTGGATACAAATACCTGCTTCATTCTGGCACTGTTAAACCTTCCTCTGCTATTTGCTCTCTCCCTATTCCCCTTGCCTTGTGACTTCTTTCAAGCTTATAAGTCTGAGGTGAAGGCCTGGGTCTCATTTTTCTGGTGATACGGCTGCTTTGGGGACAACATTGTTTGGAATGCAGCAAAAATATATGATGTCATATCCAGTTTGGCAAGAGTGGGGAAAATATATGATGTTGCATTCAGAACTTCACCAGAACCAGGAAGCTCTTCCATCCCCTCCCCACCACTGCAGCCCCAGAAAGGATCAGGAGATCTTCAAGAAAGGCACCATTTTCAGAAAAAGCTTGCTTTCATTAACTGCAAGGGGCTGCAATAAGAGAGGAGACTGCCTTGTGCCTCCAAAGGTAAAATAAATCATCATGGCTTCAGTAGGGCATTGGAGAAATTGCACTGCTAAATTTGCAACCTCTGGCAAATAAAAAGGGACTCTCAGATAATGGTTATAATAAAGATTGGATAATAAGGTTTTTATATATGGAATTATTCACTAAAGGCAACACATGTTTTGTAGTGAATATACACAAAAATACAAACAACAAAATATACATCATACAGGTTCTAAAACTTGTAAGATTAGATGACACAATTAGGGAATACATTACAGGAATTTTAAAACATGTTAAAAGAATAGAATAATATTAACTGGTAGTGTCATTACTAGTACATGGCATTAACTCATAACATGGCACAGCTTGTGGGAACAGGAAAGTATGTAGTTAACAGTAAAAAACAAAAAAATCTGAAATCCTGGAGAGGGAGTTATGAACTGGTATGGCCAATACATTCTGTAGCATATATAAATATAGCTTACGTGCAACTTGTGCAATTGCATTTTCATCAAGCATCATCTCAGCAATGCCTTCCTGATCCACATCAATTTCATCCACATAAACCATTTCTGTTAATGCTCGTACTTTCAGACACCAAGCAGCCTGGATCACAGATAAAGAAGAGAACCAAGATTCAGTGACCAGAAAGATCTATAAAATGCAGACAATACAACATCAGCAGGCCTCAGTATTTTTTTTTTATGAAACTGAACAGGGTATACATATGATGCAGGCACATGAGGGCGAAAGAACAAAAAAGATGGTATCATGGGATGTTAGGATGCACAGTGCACTAGTGCAATACTAGAAGTAGAAAATACCATGTGAGAAGGTTGGAGGGATGAAGACTGATACCTTCTTTATAGACTTAGTCAGAAAAGTGGAGAAAAAGGACAATGATGTGGAACCTCCTATGTTGCCAGTGACCGCAGAGAATAACACAGAATATCAGTCTTAGAGGAGATCAACGCTGACTGCTCTTTAGAAGGCCAGATACTGAAGATGAACTCAAATACTTTAGCCACCTAATGAGAAGGAAGGACTCACTGGAGAAGAGCCTAATGCTGGGAACAACTGACGGCAAAAGAAGGGGACGGCAGAGAATGAAGTGGCTAGATGGAGTCTCTGAAGCAGTTGGTGTGAGCTTAAGTGGACTCTGGGGGATGGTGAAGGACAGGAAGGCCTGGAGGAATGTTGTCCATGGGGTCACGATGGGTCAGACATGACTTCGCAACTAACAACAACGACCTTGGGTGGTATAAAAATGAAATAAATACATACATAATATCGGCGCTGCAAACTTTGATTTGTAAATGTATGTTTATCACATTTTGCATTAATATTGTAAATGCTATAAAATACAACCCAAAGGAACACACAATCAACTGATTTGTCTGAGTTTACTTTTAAAAAGCAGAGGTACTGTTTGTTGTGCACTTTTTCCTTTCTTTAGTTGTATGGAATGCTTAAAAAAGACTCTCATACCAAGTTCCTTTTTGGATTTGGACACATTTAAAAAGAGCTTTGGAGTGGTAGGGCTATGCAGAAACCTCCTGAGAGTAAAACTTAGATGAAGACTAAGATCAACACATGAACCCTCTGACACAAGTGGGATTTATTGGAAATTAACTGCAAAAAACCAAAACAAATCCAAACCAAATGAACTAATTGCAGAACCAATATCCTTCTGTGGCAAATTGGCTTTCCAGGAGTAATGTGCTGACATACTATGTGTTTACTAATAACCTGAATATATTTACTGTAGTCCAGTCAACCAAGCATAAAGTAAAACAAATGTTTGAAAAACAGAGTGTAATCTCCACATGTTCTTCCAGTAACTTAATAAATCTAATGAGGTTAAAGAAGTCCAGGAAGAAAGCTAGAGAGATAAAATGGAGCTGCCAAAATAATTAGAGAGCCCCTTTTAGACACTGAACAGGCCATCGTGTGTTTCTTAGAACAACATTTATAATCAAAGTAAGCTTAACTTCTTATTCATCACAGACATATGCTAAAAGCAATACAATGCAAGCATTTCAAACAAAAAGTATCAAAGGAAACCTAATGGATTATAGAAAATCCATGATTTCTCAGAGCCAGAGCATTAGCAAAGAGATTTTGTAGTAGCAGCCTTCCTACTCCTTGAAAAATCTGCTAAATAGTCTGATACTGGGACAGTTTCAAGAACTCTTGCGCAGATGACTTCCTCTCATAAATGCTTCAGATATTAATCCCTGGGGCAAAGGCATCCATGAGCAAGCAAGTGAAGAAAGCAGTGTACTTTAAGGCAGTTCAGAGGCTGGAAGGAAAGGGAAAGTTATATAACCATTTCAGCTATACTTTTAAAAACCTGCATAAAAGAATTAAGATGCCTGGAAGATTTGAATCAATGCCAATGTGTTCCTCCTTTGAAAGTAGAACAAGAGATGATGAACCCACTGGAAGCAGTAGATATTGGACATTTCACAGAACTTCCGTAATTGAATGAGGTAAAGAAGTTGCCCCTCTCAGAACACAGCTTCCCTGAAAGGTGCGATCCTCCACATGTTTAATTGGAAAATGGTCTCCAAGTCCCAGCATGCCCAATCAGCAGTTGTAGGGCTTTTTTCTGGGTCACATGCAAAGGACTGTCCCTTAAATCTAGGACAAGGTGCTGTTCTCCTTAATGTGGTATCAACATTTGTCAATGCTGCCAGACCTCCAAGTCAAACAGCTAGCTGTGCCCTGTGACTCCCCTCTCCAACCTTAGAAGGGATAGGGTTCACCACTGTGGATAGTTCTTTTAAAGCTCAAAAGAAAATCCAGAGTGGATACATAGCCCACTGACATTGGATCCACCCACTGCCACTGCGAATTTACACAGTTCATCTTGCTGTCTCCTCAGTGGCAATGGCAAAGAAATCTTACCCTTTCCATTAACAATTATATTCACTTAAAGCCAGCCAAAGACGTTGTTCTGATGATGTCTTGCCACACAAGGTGGTAATTGCCATAACCAATCTGCAAGGCATTTTCCAGATGAAACAGTCATACATGGTGCAGTTAGAGCAGGACCAATAGATGAATCTTCCATATTGATTTGCCCAATTAAATTGGATGCAGTTCAATTTATGTAAGGATTCTGTGAAAGGTGAGGCCAAGTATAAGTGTACTTGAACCATACCCAACCTGGCTAATAAGAGCAGCCAGAGGTCTACTGGTGGAGTGCATGGTGGGAGTGATAGCTGCCCCATGGCAGGAAGGGGTGGCACTCCCTACATGTGGTTAGACTATGGCGGGGGGAACACCTCTATTAGTTCAGCCAAATTGAGGAATTTTCAACCAGTCTAGATTATAAATTATAATAGAATCCTATCATACTGTTTCACAAGATACTTGAAATCATGGCGGCATCTCAGCTTCAGTGTTTCTGGATGAAATAGATTGTCTAGATCCATTTTAATCAATCTTTTGCTCAGTTTTGAAACAGAGACACCTCTGGTTGCTTGGTGACACCTAAACTGAACAGATTTAGGACCAGAATATCTGAAGGTCTACTTTTCCCATAAGAACAGCCTTGTTGATTGAGATAATTTTCAGGAACCAGGGATAATTTCAGTTGGGACCAGGCTGAAGGCCTTTTCAGTGACTGCACCTAAGCTCAGGAATACCTTCTAGGGCAGACCCATTTTACCTCCTCAGTAATTACATTTCAGAAGCTGGCAAAGGCCTACTTTCTTGGGAAGATTGTCAGCTTGCAATCTCAAAGTTCTACTATAAGTTCTGAAGGGCCAGAAACAAAACACAACGAGCAATCTCCAATGCATATGTTAAATTCCAATTTTCCAGCTCTCTGGCAGGAGATGGCACTGTGAAAGCCCTCATTTGTAGAATCTGGCTGGGATGCTGGGATGGCTAGCATAAAACTCGGCTCTTCCCATCCAGCTACTGCTAGAACTAATCAGCCTAACTACATTTTGTTTGATATTTTCTCCTTCCCCCAGTATAAAAGAAAATTGTATTTATTACAAGAGGAACAGGCATTATGAGATGTTACAAATATTTTAAGCAGCTATAAAATAGTTAATTGTGGGGAGAAAATTCTGCAAAAACGAGGTAATAATACTTAGCTTTCTAGTACTTCAGATAGATCCAAGAATTTCACACACATTATCATGATTAAAAGCCGACAAAGAGTAGGGCAGTAAGCCCAGTATTTCAGATGGGAGTGTGAAGCAAGTAGCTTACCCAAGACCATGTGCCAGTTTCAAATATATAGATAAGGGTAGATCAAGGCACATCTTTATAGATACTCTATTAGGCAACAGATTTGCAGGAGTGAATTTAGTTTGCTTTTTTAACTAGAATAACTTTTTTAAACTAAATAACTTGAGAAAAGATGTCTCTTTAAACACTCTCCCCCAGTACCTAGCATTTTACCACTGATTAAGTCTCTATAGAAGACATGGCAGTTACACTGCAATGAAACATGGGTTGAATTCATATATAATAATCAGCCATGCTAGAAACCACACAGGCATGGTTTGTCCTTATGTGTGAATTCAGCATTCATGATGAAGCATGGCACATTTGGTTTCTATGAACCCACACAGAGAAACAGTGCCTGTTGTAAGGTTTCCGTATTTCCTCATGGCTTGTTCTTATGTGCAACCCCAGTTACAATGTTTCTGCATGGTTTCTACTATTCTGCCACTGAGTCCGGTGGAAAGAGTAGCCATGACTGCAGCATATGCTCCAGCCTCCATTTTTCGTTGTCCTGTTCTGCCTAGCAACTGCTAAGGCAGCTGCAAGCCACACTGATTCCCTGCTTTGTGCTTCTCTGTCTTCACTGCTGGCACATAGCTTTCAAATGCCCAGCTGCAGTGATGGGATTTGCCTGCAGTGGGGCATCATGCTACACTGTCTCCAGAAGCAGGAACTGCAGAGACAGCTTGGCTTGGCACTCCTGCCTGGAAGCTTTGAACTTTGAAGCAGCACCATGTTTGGGCCACTGCAGGAGCCAGAAGTGTCTTCATGTGGAGGTTGCCTTGCACAGGCAGTGCATGGAACTTCTTCAACAGTGTGAACAACCTGAGGAACTCATGCCTCTTGCTCAGCCTTTCACTTTCTGCCCCAGTCCCATCTTGTCCCTGACAATTCTCAGTATGCCCCACAAACCCTGCTGTCTCCTTGCTCCTACAAGCAGCAGGCCTAACGAAGTCCTGACAGTCTGCCAGTAAACATTCTTGGAGGAAACCCTTGGTAAAGTCTGCCCAGCAGTATCTATTCACTTTGCCCCTGGTCTGAGTGCATGTGCTGATGTCCTCCATGCACCTGCCTGCAGGAGAGCTTTTGTAAGCTGCCAAAAACAAACAAACAAACAAACGAGGGGAAAAAAACAGGAGCAGCCAGCTGTGCCCACACCCAGGGGAGTGTGTGGACCAATGAGGGATATGCAGGCAAGGCAGGCAGGAGCAGTGCAAGCTGGGATTGATTTTCAGCTGTAGGGGTGGTGGGATATGTACCCCCATTTGGAAGGAAGTGGAGAAGCAAGGAAACCAGGACACAAAGGGAGATATCATGCCATGAAGTAACTGTGCAAAATTGCTTAGTGTTATGTGTGAGCACAGCCATAGTGTTTGGCAGAGGATAGCAGCTAATATTTCCTCAAAAAACATGGAATACTAAGAGGTCAATATCATATACATTTTATTGAAATATGTAACAATTACATAATTCAACAAAAGCTGATGATCTGTTTTTCTTTTTTGTACTTCAGTACTATATAGCTATGTTAGCTCTTTCCCTTCAGACTGACATATGGAACACAAAGGACAATAATCAGATTAAGCAACTAATCAGGATGATCAACCAGGACAGCAGCACAGTAGCATATTCCTGCTGGGTCATGCTACTGCTATAAACACAGAAGCCAAGATGTGTTTGTTGTGGTTGATGAAAGGTTATTTTTGGAACTAGTAGGTTATTTAGTCTCTCTCTCTCTCTCTCATACACATGCACACAGACACTGAAATGGCAGCTTAAAATAATTATTTGTCCTTGATGCAAGTCCTACTGAGTTCCTTGAGTCCCAATTCTGTACTCTGTGCTGTACCAGCACAGTATTATAAATGGCATGCATTTGTACCTTTTGTTTTTAGATCAACAATTTGAAATGAAAGGCTGTTTTAACAGGATCAAATATGTGTAGTATCAGCACAACCATTTAACTACACAGAAAAATATTTCCTAAATCTAATGCTTCAAAACACCTAAGTGGTTGATATTTCTGATCCATGTGGTAGACTTGTATTATATTCCTTAATGAAAATATGAATGAGAAGATGGACAATTGGTGGACAGTTAGTAGAAATATTTCTCAGTGCTATACTTTATTTAAAATCTATTTTCAAATTATTTCATGTTTATCTGATGCAAAGCAATATCAAAATGGGAAAGTCTTGTTTATAATATAATACCTACTTTACCCCTTTAAAAATATACATGTTTGATTTTGGATTGAAAATTTGGTATCATCATCAACTTTACAAGTAATAATCCACTTACACATCAGTGCTGTATCTCCTGTTAAATCTTGAGGAACTTCTGGAAAAGAATCATGATTCATCTAAGATTTATCCTTTCAGCTTTTTCTTAGTGTAATTACCCTATGTAGTCCATGGACATTTACCATTCACACTTTTTAGCATTAAACGTTTATCCTAAGCTGTGTTTCTGTGCTTATTACATTGAAAAAACGTGCATGGCACCTCAGTCAAGGCTCTACATACATGATGTAGAAGTCTGTTTTATGGTTTAGAACATATGGGTAGCACATTACATCTGTGTCTCCATTTTTGCATTTAATTGTTATTGCCTAAGTAAAATTGTGATTTTAATCTCTCAAGTATATAAATTTTGTAAAACCTTTTTATATGGAGTTGTTTTTAAGCTGAGCAAACTGCTACTTGGTGCCCTTAGAGCACAATTCTACTGTGATGATCATAAGCTCCCAAATGTGAAGCTTTACAGTCATAATATGCAGGGAATGGTGGATGTGATTTTTGCCTACCTGATCTCTTAACCTGCCTTTTCACTAGACAGACTTTTTTTGCCTGTCTAGCAATAGTGTTTAGAAGGCTGGAGAGGCCTTGGGATAAATTATATCCTGATCTCTCCTCCCTCCCTGTCTCCCAAGATGTGCCATTTTCCCCTACTCTAAAGTTACTTTCCTGACTGCTGAAAGAAGCAGGTTTTCCACACCAGCTGCGAGGGCTTAGAGAAGCAGAATTGCTGCTCCAATTCCAATTCTTTGACCTTAGATCTGGGAATTTAAAATGCTGTTCAGGGGCTAAAAGATTGCTCCTTCTATCTGCATCGTACTTTAGTTCAGGAGTGGCCTAACTGAGACTTAGGAGTCGCATGTGGCTCTTTGAGTTTATTTTGAAGCTTGCAATTTGCTGCTGCAGGTGCCCATGGGTGCCCACCTGCTTCTTGCCACCCCCTGCCACTGCTGCTATCAGGTGTGTGCTTGCTGCCCAGTACTGCTGCCTGCAGGCACCTGCTTGCAACTTTCAGAAATATGACAATTACTATATGTGGCTCATCCGTTGAACAAGCCTGGCTACCTCTGCTTTAATTAAATAAAACTGACTATTTTCCATTTAAAGGCTATCATTAGCTACCCTAAGACATTGGGATAGAGTTATATAAATAGTCTCAGTTGAGAAAATCTTTCCAAATGTGGTCTGAATGGAAACTATGGTGGAAGTTTCTAATATCCTCATCTTTAATATAAAGAGGGAACACATGAGGCCTAGGTATGCCATGGCTCATTTATAGTCCTCCAAATTACAGTTTGAAAGATTGCCTGAACTGAATTATTCTATGTATATTATATAAAGAGATTTCCTAGGTCACATTGGTCACATACATTGTGGACATAAAGTTAGTCTATGCCAGGCATGGGAAACTTTTTGGTGAAAATATCTGATGGGTCACAACTTCCATCACCCTTCCCCATTGGTTATGCTAGCTAGAGCTGATGGGAATTGTGGACCAAAGCCTCTGAAAGGCCACAGGTTGCCCACCCTTCATCTTTACAGTTAAAGATCAGTTTGCCTTTCTTTGGTACTCAAGAATTCTTCAGCAACAAAACAAACAGGCTGCAAGCTGGGACACTGTTAGGTGAGGCAAAATGTGCCCCTTACTCTGCACATTGTATGGTCTGCCTCCACTTCCTAGTGTGTGGATGGCACTCCATTTCCTTTGCTGTTACAACAACTGAGTTCTTGTGGGGGTGCAATATTGAAACTGTTCCTCCCCTATCACAATGACAAACATTTAGCTAGCATAGTAGCTAGTATGTCTTCAGTGCTTCCCAATAACTAAACTCCTGTCAATGACCTCCTTCAATTATAAAGCACAAAACAAAATCTAATGCTACAGATTAAGAAGTATTAATAATGAGAAGGACAATACTGTTACTTTCCTAAATTTGGGAACAGTCTCTGGAGCAAAGCTTGGAACTGAACAGCTTATATTGGTTAGAACATTAGGTTTTGTAGGAGTAAGCCAGATCAGAATTTTGATGTGTGTGGGGAAAGGGGGCTTTCCCCGTTCCATAGTCCTGCCTGGAATCCTTTATCCTTGCAATTTACAATGATAACACTTAGAGCTTTCCTCCCATTCTGGACAGCAAACAAGGATGGGGGGAAGAAAGCCTTTCTTACACATGACCCAGTTATACCTTTCCACCCCATTCCAACTAATTGTTTAACAACTATACAAAGCCAAATTACTTTGTTCCTAACACATTACATTTTTCTTTGGAGTTCTTTAGCTTGCTGCTTTCTAACCAAGGTTATTCTTAATTATTCTCTATATACTTTTTATTTATTTTATTTATTTAGTAAACTTCTATGCCACCCCATTCGCCAAAGCCTCGGGGCAGCTCACAGACATAAATAAACTTCATTAAAACAATATAAATTAACAGTATAAATTAAGTCGCCCTGGCCAAAGAATAAAATAAATAAATACTATTAACAGTTAAAATGACATTTGAATAAAAAGGTCTTCACCTGGCGCCCAAGAACAAATAACGACAGTGCCAGGCGGACCTCTCTGGGGAGTGCATTCCATAGATTGCAAATTCTCCCATCAATGCTGACAAAACTAATTTGTCAGATTGTCTGTCTAAATCAGACTAAGAACAGGTGCAGTTGAACGTGGCTGGATACTTCTTTTCAATGTACTGTACCATTAATTACTGCATTTAGTACTGGTTTTTCAATAAGCTGTTTGCTTATTTTACATGAGTGCCTTCCAGTGTATCATCCTCAAATATATTTGAGAAGAAAGTATGTAGAACTGTGTCAAAAGTTATGTTTAGCTAAAGCAGGTTTTCCCTTCTCGTACTACATTACCTTATAAAAGAATAAAACTAAATAGCTTGATATGGTTTGTTCTTAATAGCCTGTTGGCTATTTGGTCTTGTGGATTTTGTGTACGTGCCTACAAATTACTTGTTTTATTATTTGTTCCACTATTCCACGCTATAAAGTCAAAGGTAACCGATTAACATTAGGCTTCTGTTTCGTTTACCGTTCCCCAGTATTTCAAAAGGTGTTCTTGCAGGGCCTGATGGACCCAAGAAAAGCAAGGAGACCTCGAGGTGCAGAGCATTCCGGTTGGCCCCAACGAATCTGTTCAAAGCACTAATGTACTCGTTTTCCCATCACACACGCTCCTGCCGATCCACCCTATCGTGCTCTAGATCTATTAGTTACCTGGTCGCCAGGTTCCTTTTCCAGCAACTGGGAGCAAAGATCAGAGCAGAGCTGGAACTTCCTCCGCCTGAAGTAACTCAAGGCATGGAGCAGCGGGTCCATTTCCATCCCCATCGACAGAACGCGGGACAAGCCGGTAACAGGAGCAGTGATGGCAACAATACGCCTCCTTCCTTCCGCCTAGGCCCCGCGTCCCAGCTTTGCGTTGTGCAGCCACGCAACAGCGGGGTCCTCGTCGGATAATAGGCGACTATGCGACTGCCTAAGGAGAGAAGAACGCTTGAGAGATGGAGAGCTTGCACTCGCAATCGTTTTTTCTCTCGCGTCTCGTGTGAACGGCAGAAACACTCTCTGCATCACTAAGAACTGGTCTTCGGGCAGTGTGTGCGCCGTAACACACTTCTCTTCGTTTGTGCGGCACACTGGGGTTGCCGGTTGCTAGAGGGAGTCCTCTCAGCTGAAGAAATTTAAAAGGAACAGCGTTTTTCTAGCGCGAAAAAAGAGATCCTTGTTGATTTTTTAAATTTTTTTGAACGGTGATGAAGCTGCTTAAAGGATCAAGAGCGCTTCCCCAGGGGCAGGGCAATCCTGCATGTGTCGGCTAGGGACTTTATTTTATTTTACTGTACGACTCGACGGTGGTGTGGTGGTTAGAGAGTGTTAACCGATGAGTGGGGAAATCCGAGTTCAAATCCCCAATGGGATGTAATGCCCTACGTGATCTTGAGGCAGGCATTATCCCTCAGGTTGACCTATTTTACGTGGTTCTAGTGAGGGTAAGTGTCAGGGTGGAATCTTCAGGCTGTGGTTGGGTAAGAACCCTATGTGAAATAATCAAGCTAGCTGAAGCAATGGACTAACTCGGTATAAAGGGGTATCTTATTATATACTTGAAAGAAGTATATAATAAGGCTTTCGCGACAGGACGGCATATAAATATTTTAAATAAATAAGAAAGGTGGGGCATACATGCAAGAAACAAATAAGAAAGCCTATGAGGCCTCATTATTTTTATGTTGAACTGAGTCTCCCTTGTGCAATTGTAAAGTTTAAATATTAAAATCAAGGTGAATACTGCACCTGGATGCCAAGGGAACTAAGTAGTGGTACTCTCAGAGAAAGCAGACGTCGCAGACCCTACTCAGCAGAATTAGCAGGAGGGCTGGCTTACCACATTTTGAAAGCGAAACATGGACTTGGGAACAACCTCAACGGTCATCTGGTCTAGCCCCCTGCCAGTGCAGATAATGCACATTTGCCATCTAAAGTGCACCCCCTCCTGTAAAACCATTAATTCCAGACTCTGACATTTCTTATCTGTATACATGGAGCTAAGGGAAACCCTTGTGTACTACAGAATACATTAACTGTAGTTCCCTTCTTTTGCAAAACTTTCACATGAAGTAGATCTGCTTTGCTAGCTATCAGCTATCATTTAGGAATCTTCCTAAAAAGGACTGTGCTGGATCAGACCAAGGGTCCATCTAGAGCAGCATTTTGTTCAAACAGTGGCCATTCAACTGTCCACAAGAAACTCATAAACTGGATATGAGTTCAGTAACACTCTCCCTCCCAGTTTCCTCAGCAATTGATAAACAAAGGCATACTTCTCTGATATTGGAAGTAGCATAGTCATGAGGACTGGTAATCACTTATCCGCTGTGACTTTGCCCAATCCTCTTTTAAAGACACCCAGACTGATGGCCATTACTGCATCTCATGGAAGCCAATTCCATAGTTTAGTTATGTGCTGTGTGAAGTAATTCCTTATCCTTAGTATTTCATTTGTAAGCTTGATCCTTTTGTTTGTTAATTAAACCTACTGTTCTACACAATCTTTAAATTTATTTAATTATTTATTTCTATACTGCCCTATAGCTGAAGCTCTCTGGGTGGTTTACAAGAATATATAAAACAAAACAATAACATAAAATGCAAATATCATAAAAGCAACAATGTTAAAATGAATTTAACATTAATGTAAAATTGCTTATAAATACAGTGAAAGATCCTGTAAAGGAAAAGAATCACCTGGCTCATCCCTAAGGCCCTTGAATAATCAAGGAGATTTTAAAAGCCTCCACATAAAGGGCTGTCTTGACCTGGCACAAAGAAGATGGCAAGTTTGGTACCAGGCTAGTTACAGCAGGGAGGTAATTCCAAAGATGGGGAACTGCCACAAAAACGTTATTCCCCCTTGTTGCCATCCTCTCCCATGGGACTGGCACTCAGACAAAGCCCTTAGAGGTTGAGCATAGTGCCTGAGTAGATTACAGTTGGGAGAGGTGCTCCCATAGGTATTATGATCCTAAACTGTGTAGGGCCTTATGGGTTAAAACCCATACCTTGAATTAGACTGGGCCCTGAAGCATACAGGCAACCTAAGCAGGTGGGCCAGAAACAGTCATGTATGTTCAGATCTATGGGTCGCACTCATTAATTTGGCTGCTGTATTCTGCACCAGCTGCAGCTTCTGAACTTTCTTCAAGTGTATTGCAGTAATCTTTAGAGATTAACAGAACATAGATTACTGAAACGAAACCAGGGTATCACTGTACAGATAGGTACATAGCTGGGCCATTAGCTAAAGCTGGTAGAAGCACTCTTAGGCCATCTGAGCTTCAAGGGCAGGCTACAAACCTGCTCCTTCACTGGCAGTGCAAATTCATCTGAAACAGGTTAACTCCCTGCATCTGGTCAAGGGAACCACCCACCAACAGCATCTCAGTCTTGTCTGGTTTGAGCTTTAGTTTCCTGGCCCTCGTTCTGTCTATTGTTGCAGCTAGACACCAGTTTAACACATCCACACTCTCGCCTGCTGAAAATGTAAAGGAGAAATAGAGTTGTGTGTCATCAGTATACCAATGGCATTGCACCCCAAAACTCTGGATGACCCCATTGAGCAGTTTCATGTAAGCATTAAACATCATGGGAGATGGAACAAACCCCTGAGGAACTCCACGCTGGTGAATCTATGGAACTGAACAGTACTCTCAAAATTCTTCCATAAAAATAAAGTTCCTCAAATACATTTCCTATCCTAAAATTCAAAGTCCATCAGTTTGTTTCCCAAATTAATTTTCTCCCTAGCTTCTGTTTCCAGAAAACTGCTCCTCCAAATCCACCTTCTCCAAATAGGCAAAATAAGCATATAACTAATTACAAATCTCTGCATTTCTTATTCAGTATTCCCTTCAGTCTTGTTAGAACTGCAGCATGCAGTGTGTTCCTCTGTGTATTCTCAGAATATGTCTGATCTCCCTGCTGTCTCCAGCTTAAACAAGCTGCTGTCCTCCATCTACTATCTAATACTTCCTCTGTATTGGCATAAGTATGATGCTCAGAAAGCATAAAGCACTTATCCCAATAGTGATACTTGGCAGTAAATCCAGCAAAACTTTGCAGCAATGCAAAGAAAGGCTCTACATTATTTCTTTATTGAACTATTACACATGAACATTAAATTAAAATTAACACTGTTGTTATGTACTCCAACTTAAGGTGACCCTGTGAATGAAAACTCTCCAAAATGTCCTATCCAAAAAAGCCCTGATTAGCTGCTTTAAATGCATGCCTGAGGCTTCCCTTATGGAGTCAATCCATCTCTTACTTGATCTTTCTTTTCTTCTTCCTTTTCCCTTCTGCCTTTCCCTAGCATGACTGTCTTCTCCAGTGAGTCTTGCCTTCTCATTATGTGTCCAAACTATGACAGCTGCAGTTTTGTCATTCTTTTAGTGAATGCTCTGGCTTGATTCTTCACTGTCCTGCTTTCACACTCATACACAGTGATCGAGAAATGCAATGGTGTGAATGATTTTGGCCTTGGTCTCCAGTGAAACTTCCTTATACTTGATTATCTTTTCTAGTTCTTTCATTGCTGCCCTTTCAAGTCGCAGTCTTCAGATTTCTTGGCTGCAGTCTCCCTTTGAATTGATGAGTCAGCCAAAGTATACAAAATCTTTCACAACATGTTAGTTATTATGTATGTAGACTTCTGACATGCACAATGGTTTTCACTGAATGTATTCCCTCTTTTTATAATGGCAGTTCAATAAGCTGTACTCTACATTTAGAGTTGCAAACAAGTCTTGTTTAGGTTAATGGAAATTAAACATGTTTTTGTTTTTTGTTCTGTAATAGATTTTGCCCAGGGTATACTTTCAGTAGATTGTGCCCTCTGTCTATAATGCTTTAGTACTGCACGTTGCATTAATTTTAGAGGTTGTTTGTATAAGTTTATTTTTCAAGACTGATGTCTGTTAAAGCTACTGTGCAATAGTCTGTACTTAAATATATTCATATTTGTGCATGTATAAATAATTCTGGTGGAATATACAAGTATGCATTAATTAAATTTATAGAAATGAAAATATAAGACTATATTTTGATCGATCACTTTGTACTATTATAGCTATACAGCAAAGGAAAACCATCATTAAATTATATGTCATTTCAGAGACATCCTGATAAGGGGCAGAGAGTTCGGCAACCACTGTCTCAGAACTAGAATTTATAATAGTTCTATATTCTCTTGTCAGCTCAAAATCAATATGAGCTGAGAGATAGAAAGCACATTTTTGGGAAGGACATTCATAGGAAAAGTGATGTAATTGAATGAGTCTGTCCTTCATTTAAAATTGTGCTCCATTTAAAATTGTTGGGGCTACTCTATCAGAGTAGAAGGTGATAGTGCTCAGTATAGAATTTCTACTTCAAATAGGTGCATTATAAAAACAATAGCTATACAATACAGGGTGGGGAAAGATTATGTAGACTGAGTGTATCTGACAGCAATTTTTGCACTTGGTGATTTGAGGTGTACTGCTGGATGAAAAGTGTCAGGTGACTCTGATCACTATTAGATATTAGTAGCATGTAATCAAAATATTGAAGAAAGTGATGCTGTATTGTTTACAATTTAGAATACATTTTTCAATAGTTCATGGAAGTGTTTTTTTTGTTTTAGTTAATACGCAATCCTATACATGTTTACTCAGATGTAAGTCCCACCATATTCAGTGGAACTTACTCCTTAGTGAGTGTTTTTTAAAAATTCAGTATGTTAATATTGATTGGGGTCTTAAAAGCAATCCAACAGATCAAGGGTTTCCTTGGTCATTTGCTTTTCCAAATAATTAATAAAAATATTCAGACATACTAAATTATAACAATGGGTCTGCAGAAGACCTC